AGAGTGAGTGCCGTGGCGTCAGCCTAGCTCACAGCAACCTCAAACTCCTGGGCTCAAGCAATCCTTCTGCCTCAGCCTCCCAAGTAGCTGGGACTACAGGCGTGTGCCACCATGCCCGGCTAATTTTCTATATATATTAGTTGGCCAGTTAATTTCTTTCTATTTATAGTAGAGACGAGGTCTTGCTCTTGCTCAGGCTGGTTTCGAACTCCTGACCTCGAGCAATCCGCCCGCCTCAGCCTCCCAGAGTGCTAGGATTTTAGTGTTCCATTTTAATTTGTGTATTTGGTTTTGGGATATATCGCTTTGTAATTTTTTTTTTTTTTAGCGATTCCTCTAGGAATTACATTATGTATGCCTATCCTTTCATAGTCTACTTAGAATTAATATTTTATCACTTTGCTTAAATGTAGAACCTTGTAGCCATATAGATTCCCTTAACCTCTTGCCCTCTGACCATTATGTTATAGTTGTCATATGTATTTATATTACATATACTGAAAATTCTACCCAGATAATGTTAAAATTTTACTTTAAGTTTTTTTTAAATGTATTTACCTAGCTATTTACCATATCTGTTGCTCTTTCTTCATTCTTAAACTTCCAAGTTTCTCTCTGGTGCCATTTTTCTTTAGCATTTCTTATAGAGCAGATCTGCTAACAATGAATTTTCATTAGTTTCTTTTCATCTGAAGAAACATTACTGAGTATATTTTCATTGAATATAGAATTCCGAAATGACAGATCTTTTCTCTCAGGCTTTTAAAGATATTGTTGTATTGTCTTCTGATCTCCTTGGTTTCTGTTGAGAAATCCATGGTCATTTAAATCATTATTCCCTATAATGTAATATGTCATTTTTCTGAAGCTTTCTAGATTAAAAAAAAATCCTTGGCTTTGAATAGTTTCATTAATATGTATCTAGGTATGTTTTTCTTTGAGTTATCATACTATTTGGTGTTTGTTGAGCTTTTTGAATTTGTAAATTTAAGTCTTTCACCAAATTTGGGAGATTCTCCTTCATTATGTTTTTAAAATGTATTTTTCTGCCTCAGTATCTTTCTCTTCTGCATCTGGGATTATAAATACATTTAAGATAGAACTTTTGTTATTAACCCACAGGTTATTGGGATTCTGTTGACTGTTTTTCAGTCTTTTTTTCCTCTTTGTTCTTCAGATTGGATCATTTCTGTTGATCTGTGTTCACAAACTTTCACAAACTCTTTCCTCTGTCATCTCCATTCTATTACTGAATTTATCCAATGAGTTTTTATTTCAGATATTGTATTTTTCATTGTTTCTGTTTCTCTGTAGATAGTTTCATTTATTTATTTATTTTTTATGGTTTCTGTTTCTCTGTAGGTAATTCCTACCTTTTCCTTCATTTCATGTGTGTTTTCCTTTTTTTTTTTTGAGACAGCCCAGGCTAGAGTGAGTGCCGTGGCGTCAGCCTAGCTCGCGGCAACCTCAGACTCCTGGGCTCAAGTGATCCTGCTGCCTCAGCTTTCCTAATTGAGTAGCTGGGACTACAGGCATGCACCACCATGCCTGGCTAATTTTTTTCTATATATTTTTAGTTGTCTGGCTAATTTCTTTCTTATTTTTTTTTTTTGAGACAGAGTCTCACTCTGTTGCCCGGGCTAGAGTGCCGTGGTGTCAGCCTCACTCACAGCAACCTCAAACTCCTGGGCTCAAGTGATCCTCCTGCCTCAGCCTCCCGAGAAACTGGGACTACCGGCATGCACCACCATGCCCGGCTAATTTTTTCTATGTATATTTTTAGATGGCCAATTAATTTCTTTCTATTTATAGTAGAGACAGGGTCTTGCTCTTGCTCAGGCTTGTTTCGAACTCCTGACCTGGAGTGATCCTCCCACCTCAGCCTCCCAGAGTGCTAGGATTACAGGCGTGAGCCACTGCGCCGGCCTAATTTCTTTCTATTTTTAGTAGAGATGGGGTTTCACTCTTGCTCAGGCTGGTCTCAAACTCCTGAGCTCAACGGATCAGATCCGCCCGCTTCGGCCTCCCAGAGTGCTAGGATTACAGGCGTGAGCCACCCCGCCCGGCCTGTGTTTTCCTTTATAAGAAAATATTTCATTTACATATTGAAAGTGTTTGATAGTTCCAATATCTGGGTCATCTTGGAGTTGATCTTCTTTTAATCACCTGTTCTTTGAGAATTGCTCACATTTTCCTGGTTCTTTGTGTGTTGCATAATTTTGGAATTTATGCTCAACATTGTGAATATTATTTATATAGATTTGGGGTCCTATTATAATCTTCTGGGGAATGTTGCTGTTTTTGTTTTAGCAGGTAACCTTGCTTCAGGTTTAGACTGTAAGTTCCATCTTGCCTTATGGGGGCATTTGTTAAAATTTCATTTCTATATGTCTTTGCTATGATGATTTGGGTTGTTCCATACATGAATAGCTCAGGGCCTAGTCTGAGACTTCTGCAGGTGTTTCAAATCTTATTTCAGTTCTCTAAGATTTCGTTGGTTTGGGTCACATTAGTTCAAATCTCATTTTAGTTTTCAAAGTTTTTGCGAGGCTGGTTTGGGTATGTGCCACACATACGTAGCTCAGATGAAGCTGTGAGTTGTGTGAATTCATACACTGAATTATGGGATCCCTTTCTTTGCTTGTCTCCTCTATAGGATTTCTCCATACTCTCTGGCCCACAGAGATCCCTTTTCTTGATTTCTTTGGACAGAAAGAGGGGATTTCTGTTGGAATTTAGGCCACCCATGCTGCTCTGCAAGAGGGGCTCACCCTTGTTGCAACGCCACATGTGAGGGAGAAAAGCATAGCTGGGAAATTCACTCCATGTGGGTCACTTCTCCCAGTTTTGACTTCCCTGCATAATCCACCTGCTTTTGTTTACAGAGTCCAGAGTTTTTAGTTATAATCAGCAGGAGGGATGGGCTATAGTGGCAATTATACCACCACACCAGAACCAGGGCTTCTCTATATTAAATATGTAATATTGGACTTCATGTGCCAAGAGCTGAAAATCATCTTTCTTTGAGCATTAGACTCTTATGTTAACCTATCCCCATTTCCATCCCCTCCCTCTCAGAGGAAACCATATTAACAAGTGTGATGTGTATTCTTAAATATATGTAAATCCTTTAGCCTGAAAAGAAATGAATGTCTTTTGCAGCAATTTGGATGGAACTGGAGACCATTACTCCTAAGTGAAGTATCTCAAGAATGGAAAAACAATCACCACATGTACTCACTATTAACTTGAAATTAACTGATGGGTACACATGAGCACAGAAAGAAGTAAAAATCATTGGAAATCAAGAAGGGAGGAAGGGGGAGAAGGGGAGGGGTAAAAACCCACCTAGCAGGTACAATGAACACTATTTGGGTGATTGACACACTTGTAGCCCTGACTTAAGCATTATAAATAAAAGCTATCCGTGTAACAAAAACATTTGTACCCCCTTAATACTTTGAAATAAAAAACTATATATATATGAATCCTTTTAAAATAAGTAAAATAAGCTGCTTTACATGTGTATTTTTTTTTTTTTTTTTTTGAGACAGAGTCTTGCTCTGTTGCCTGGGCTAGAGTGCTGTGGCATCATTCTAGTTCACAGCAACCTCAAACTCCTGGGCTCAAACGATCCTTCTGCCTCAGGCTGCCGAGTAGCTGGGACTACTGGCATGTGCCACCATGCCCGGCTAATTTTTTCTAATTTTAGTAGAGATGGGGTCTCACTTTTGCAGGATGGTTTCGAACTCCTGAGCTCAAACAGTCCTCCCACCTCGGCCTCCCAGAGTGTACATGTGTATTTGTTTTTAATTTACTAAAATGACATTGTACTAGAGATCCTGTTCTGTTTCTTTTTCATTCAACCGTATGCTTTTTAGTTATGTTCATGTTTATTTGTGAAATTGGTTCATTGCTTCTACAACTACATAGTGTTTCATACATACGCATCTGACATTTTACTTATATATTTTCTAGAGGTAGTCACCTGTGTCATGTCTCTCTGCTGTCACAAAAAACCTCTATATGTAATTCTTATCAGCTCTACCTGTGAAGTGTTCTCTTGAATCTGCCAACTCATCATCTCTGCAATAAAACCTTACTTTAAGCTGGCATCATTTTTATCCATACTATTGCAACAAGCTAACTCTTCTCTTTTTGTTTACTCTTTCCCCCATGGGCCATCATCTATACAGCAGCCAGAGAGGTCTTTCTAAACTGTAAATCTAAAGTAGGCCTCATATAGATAATAATATTTAGTTGGAAAAGGGAGGTCCTAAGAGTCCTTTGCCCACACTTTGAGAATTGCTGCTCTGCCACATCTTGAGCCACCTAAAAGAATGTCTGATCCTTTGTAGTTACTCAGTAATATTTGTTAACTGACATACTAACTGATACTGTATTTTGGAATCTGGATCCACCTGTATACCGGAAGTCTTTGGCCAGTTTGATTCAGACAAGATACCATCCTTCCTTTAGCTATGAAAGCTAAGTATCATGTTGCCTAAGCAAAATAGGGCAGCCCTGACTTCAGGGTTTAGGGAGAAGGAAGATGGATCAGATTAGAACCTATACATTATTCTTCTCTTTTCTATTCACAGAGATACCCTTTAGTTAGTGTCCCTCTGTCAAAGAACTAGGAACGCTTGGACATACCTGGGTACAAATCCAGGGGATCTTCTGAAGGGTTATAGAACACCCTATTACTTTGCCTACTTTTCTTAAATAAATCTAGGAAGTGATGCCTGCTAGGGCTGCAAAGTGATCATTTATATGGACTGCTTACTCTTTCTGATTATAGTGTAGTATAATAATTGCACATATTGTTAGATCAACCATTATAATTATTACGAGACTACAACCTACATTCTGTTTTTATATCAAGCTTCTTAGTTTTTTGCACAAGTAACCAACTTGGTTATCTTGTTATGATATAAAAGAATTAATAGGAATTTTGCTGCAGACTCTCCTTTGTGGTATGTATCTTTGTGTTGTATTAGTAGCAGGACCCAGTGCTCCATAAAGGATAATAGTTTCCAGTACACTATCCCTCATGATGACTCCTTAAGTGGCTCATCATCTGCCTCCTCATGTGAACCAGTGAGTGATTTTCCAGCATCCTTCCGAAAATCTACCTACTGGATGAAGATGAGAAGGATCAAGCCAGCTGCTACTTCTCATGTTGAAGGTATTAGTATCAGTGTCTTATTTCAAAGACAGAGCACTCTCTAAAGTTATATTTTGAGGTAGTGTTGTAAATGGCTCTAAGAGTATTAAATGCCACATAGGTGTTTCTCATTAGTAATTAAAAAAACTTTAAGGTGTTAGGCTATTGCATGCTGTTAGCTTCACTAATAGAGTGAAATTCTGCTGATCTTATTCCTCTAGGTTATATTCAGCCTCAGCCTTTCCTTTTCATAGGATTTGAACGCCTTTCCCCTTTTTCTAGTTCAATCCTGTGTTGAGGATTTAGGTGTAAACGTTATGCAGGATAGAATATTCTAGATGGTCATAGTGTCAAGAATCCCTGGTAGCCCTCTATCTTGAGCAATTCTTCTGCATCAGTGTTAGCCCCAAATCCCAATTAAGCAAAACACATTGCCTAAAGGCACTTATTATTTATGGGGAGCAATTGATGATTCAGGATGGAGAATAATACTAAAGGAAAAGGGATTATTGGGTCAGTTAATGAGAAATTACACCAACTTCCCTAAAAATGTCAGGAACACTTCTGTGAGGCCTATTTCATTGATGGTCTTGTGAATGATGTTTTGAAGGCAGGCCTGATGTTCATTTACAAACTGTACTCAGTTTTTGTTCTGTTTTTGTGTGCTATTTCAGGGTCAGGTGGAGTATCAACCAAAGGAAAAAGGAAACCCAGGCAGGAAGAAGATGAAGACTACCGAGAATTTCCTCAGAAGAAGCATAAGCTTTATGGTAAGGCAATAACTTTGCTATTTCTTTTGGGTGACTGGCCTTTATTCTTTGAGGGTTAATAGGAAAGAGACCTTAGTTTTGAGCCTTGAATGACTTTTGAGCCCTTGGAAATTTTTGGGAGGGAACAGCCTCCATCCTTCCTTATATTACCCTGTCATGACTTAAGGGAGTCAGTTGGTTAATGGAGTGGGGCATAGGGTGTTGAAGAGATTGGGAGGGCCAGGCGCGGTGGCTCACGCCTGTAATCCTAGCACTCTGGGAGGCCAAGACAGGCAGATTGCTCGAGGTCAGGAGTTTGAAACCAGCCTGAACAAGAGCGAGACCCCATCTCTACTAAAAATAGAAAGAAATTAATTGGCCAACTAATATATAAAAACAATTAGCCAGGCATGGTGGTGCATGCCTATAGTCCCAGCTACTTGAGAGGCTGAGGCAGCAGGATTGCTCGAGCCCAGGAGTTAGAGGTTGCTGTGAGCTAGGCTGATGCCATGGCACTCACTCTAGCCTGGACAACAAAGGGAGACTCTGTCTCAAAAAAAAAAAAAAAGAGAAGGGGAGGGATTTTGGTCTAGAGAGGGGTTAGCAAAGGTGATATGCTGGGCTTCAAGTTTCTGTCTTGCGTCAGGGAGGAAGCAACGGCCTAAAACTCAGCCCAATCCCAAATCCCAGGCTCGTCGTATTCGGAAGGAACCACCAGTTTATGCAGCAGGTATGCTTTCTGTTGGAAGCTTTGTGGGACGTAGTTTTCACACTGATTTTTTGTTGTTGTTTGTGTAGGAATGATGCACGAAGCATTTTTTCAAGGAGATAGTTATTAAGGGCCTAGGTTTGGAGGTCAGGCAGATCTTTGCATAACTTTTGGCTCTTCATTACCTTTCTGACCTACCTCAGTTTATTTATTGTTCCCAAGCCTCAGTTTCCTTTCTATAAATAGGGATAATAAAGTCAGTCAGAATTGTTGTGAAAATTAAATGGGATAAAAACATTTAGTTTCAGGCACACAAACACTCAGCAAATTGGCTATTACATATCTCAGTATCCCATTGTTATATCCTGCTATAAAAAAATATTGGTTAATTCTTTAAGCCACTGGGCTTTGGAGTGGTTCTAAGATGATTTTTATCATAGGAAAATGAGTAGGAGTTTCAGAAACTCCTCACTGTCTAAAAAAAAAAAAAATTATTTTCAGAAAGTTATACCCAGCAAGAGTCTCTTTATTATTGTCTACCAGGAAAGGGAAATAAAATTTTATTATACTTTTCCTAAATTGTGGGATTATGCTTTTTGTTTCTGGAGAATACTACAGATCACAAAGTGTTCCTTTTTCTCCTTCATAGGCAGTTTGGAGGAGCAGTGGTACTTAGAAATCGTGGATAAAGGCAGTGTCTCCTGCCCTACCTGCCAGGCAGTGGGGAGGAAGACCATAGAGGGTTTAAAGAAACACATGGAAAACTGCAAACAGGTTAGATATTTTATGGCGTTTTGCGATTGTTAGGATTTTTTATCCCAACTTTAAACCTCTGGTGTTGTGATAGATATGCCGTTTATAGTAGATAAGAGGCAACATTGGGTAATAGAGGAAATGTAGGCTCTGGATCTGATAGACTTGGATTTGAATCCTCTCTTAGCTATATACTAGTGTGGCATTTAGCTTTCTATGTGTGCACCTGGGTTTCCTCATTTGTTAAATGGAGAAAAAATAATAAATACCTTGTATAGTCCATGAAAGGATAAGAAAGAAGTAACACATGCTAAGTGCGTAGCACATTACTTATCAAATGCTGGCATTCAGTAAATGGTAATTATTATTATTTTTAAAATGGGTTGCCTTTACCTCCTTGCCCTTTAGGACATGACACCAAGCTTGTGGGATTTTGAGAATCATTGACTATTGAGTTTTGGAAATAAAGGAAACATAGATGAGAGCACTTGAGTAGGACTTTGTGACATTCTGTTTCTCTGTTGAACAGGCTAGTACTGAGCAGTATTTTTTCCTTTTAGGAAATGTTTACTTGTCATCATTGTGGGAAACAACTTCGTTCACTGGCAGGGATGAAGTATCATGTCATGGCAAATCATAATAGTTTGGTAAGAGTCCCTTCTGTCCTTTGCAAGCCTATATGGTGTTTGGATGTCTTTTACTTTTAGGTGAATGTAGATATATCAGTGCAGATGGCTTGGGACCTTATAATGGTATAAGACCCTTTTGATAGAAGAGTTATGCACAATGAAACCTTTGCAGTAGAGCCATAGGTATTTGTGTGTTTAGGTTAGCCCCAAAAGTTCATTTCCTGGGATATAGAAGCTCAGAACCTTATTTTCATTATATTCACTTCCTTTGTCCAGGAGAAGATGGAGAAAGCCAGGAGTCAAATAACTTCGACTTCATGGACATCATGAAGTTTGGATTGCCATTTGCTAGTCTCATCCTTGATTCTCCCATGATTTTTTTTCTTGTATCTGTTTTTTCCATGAATCATCTGCTTGTTTGCTTCTCTTGATTTCTAGTCCATTCTGAAAGCTGGAGATGAAATAGATGAGCCAAGTGAGAGGGAACGGCTCCGAACAGTTCTAAAGAGACTGGGAAAGCTTAGGTGCATGCGCGAGGTAAGAGTCCAAGGAAGGCAACTCCTTCCTGTAATCTCAGTCTCAGGTCAATGTCTTTCTGTTCTTTTCCATTTCTCCTCCTCCTCCCTTGTTGATCTCCTAGTTCTGTGCCATCTTATGGCATATAGATGGTTCCTGCCTTTCCAGGTCTTTTGAACTCATTAATAGTTCTTTATTTTTCTTTCTCATCTTCCAAAAATTATTTTTCTCCACTTTCCCTTTGTTCATAGATGGTTCTTTACCATCCTTTTTTCGGTGTGATGAAGAGAATCCCAGTAACCTCATTGTGATGAACTTCGATATTGCTGGGTATTTGATACTGGGATAGAGTTGGGTCACAGACCAAGGAAGAAACTCTGGCAAAGACTAGATGCACACTTATAGTTTATCAAATGCCATCTAAACTTATTAAATATCATGCCTGGTTATAGTAGGATGACCAAGGTTTTGTGATATTTGGGTCTCTTTGTATTTTGTGGTGGTGAGTGCTTTGTGGCTATTTAGAAATTTAGGGATCATATCAAATGATGTAAGATTATGGTTTGGGCTTCTCTCCTGTTTTCAGAGTTGCTCCAGTAGCTTTACCAGCATCATGGGATATCTGTACCATGTCAGAAAATGTGGCAAAGGTGCTGCAGAGCTGGAGAAGATGACCCTGAAATGTCACCACTGTGGAAAACCATATAGATCAAAGGCTGGACTTGCGTATCACCTGAGGTCAGAACATGGGCCTGTGAGTACTGATTACTTTCTAGACTCTGTTTGGGGATATATTTTGTGGAGAGTGCTTACCATACAACTTCCCATATATCCTCGGTTCCTCATTTGTATTGCCTTTTAATCTTTGAATGCTTTTGTTCTCTCTTTCTTGTTCTTTATTTTTCTTCTCTTATTTCTGCCTTTTGAACATTATTAGGTTAGAGAAATCAAAAGTATATTCAAAGTATAGTCTAGGCAGAAATGAACTATATTATATATATATATATTTTTTCAAACACTAACACTCTATATTTTTAAATTTAAAGGCATTTCCCCCTTAGCTAGAAATTTTGTGGGAATCTGACGAGCTGATTCTTCTTTTCCCATTATTCTGGTCTTTACTTTTAATTTATTTTTAAGTTATTTTTATTTTATTGTTTATTTTTTATAGAGACAGGGTCCAGGGTCTCTCTGTGTTGCCAGGCTGGTCTCAAACTCCTGCCCTCAAGTGATGCTCCTACCTCAGCCTCCCAGAGTGCTGGGATTACAGGTGTGAGCCACTGTGCCTGGCCAACTTTTGTATTTTTTTTAATTAAAAAAATTTCTTTTCCTTTTTTCTAATTACATTCCTAAATTTCCTTTCCTGTTTTTTTAAGAGTTGTTTGTTATGTTAGGATACAGTTTACATGTGGTAATATTTACCATTTTAGTGCATAGTTAAAAGACTTTTTGACACATGCATCTATGATCACATAACCATCACCACAATCAAGACATACTGTGTTTCCCCTAAAGTAAGACAGGGTCTTATATTTTTTTTTTTTTTTGAGACAGAGTCTCGCTTTGTTGCCCAGGCTAGAGTGAGTGCCGTGGCGTCAGCCTAGCTCACAGCAACCTCAAACTCCTGGGCTCGAGCAATCCTTCTGCCTCAGCCTCCCTGGTAGCTGGGACTACAGGCATGTGCCACCATGCCCGGCTAATTTTTTTTTATATATATATCAGTTGGCCAATTGATTTCTTTCTATTTATAGTAGAGACGGGGTCTCGCTCTTGCTCAGGCTGGTTTTGAACTCCTGACCTTGAGCAATCCGCCCGCCTCGGCCTCCCAAGAGCTAGGATTACAGGCGTGAGCCACAGCGCCCGGCCAGGGTCTTATATTTATTTTTCCTCAAGAATACATTCTAGGGCTTATTTTCAGGGGATGTGTTATTTTTTTTTTAAGTATGGTATAACAATCTACATTTATTCAAATATAGTTAAGTCGTCGTCTTCTGGAACATCATCATAACTCTTCAAACCCCGAATTCCATCCTGAATTTCTTGTGACTCTATTTCCTTTAGAACCATTGGCCCCAATCTCTCATGTTGAGCAATAGAGCTCTTATGGGGCAGATGAGAAGGGCTGCTCATCTTCTTTACCGCTCCGTGAAGAATTGCATGGGTTGTGCAGATACGCTGCATAGCCACGCCGATCACTGGGTCTTATTTTCAGGGTAGGGCTTATATTGCGCAAATGCTTAGAAATCCTGCTAGGGCTTATTTTATGGGTAGGTCTTATTTTCGAGGAAACACGGTAGAACAATTCTGTCACCTCCCAAAATTGCCTTGTGTCCCTTTGTAGTCAGCTTTCCCTGCCACCTGCAGCCCCTGGCAACTTCTGACCTATATGCTATCCGTGTAGTTTTGCCTTTTTCAGAATGTCATATAAATGGAATCATACAGCGTGTAGCCTTTTGAGTCTGTTTTCTTTCATTTAGCATAATGCATTTGAGCTTTATCCATGTGTTACATGTATCTTAATTTATTCCTTTTTATTTCTGACTAGGATTTCATTGTATGGATGTTTCAAGTTTGTTGTTTATCCATTCCCCAGTTGAACATTTGGGTGGTTTTTAGTTTTGGGCAATTATGAATAAAGCTGCTATAAACATTCACATAGGCCAGGTGTGGTGGCTCACACCTGTAGTCCCAGCCCTTGGCTTAGATGGGAGGATTGCTTAAGGCTGGGAGTTTGAGGCTGCAGTGAGCTATGATCATGCTACTTTACTCCAGCCTGGGTGGCAGTGAGATCTGTCTCAAAAAAGAAAAACCACAAACAACCCCAGCAAACAAATAAAAAGCATTCACATAAAGGTTTTTGCATGAAAATAAGTTTTTTAAGTTTTAATTTCTCTTGGGTAAATATTTAGGAATGGGATGGTTGGGTCATACAATAAATGTATGTTTAACATTATAAGAAACTGCCAAAGTGGCTGTGCCATTTTGCTTTCCCATCAGCAAGGTATGAGTATTCCAGTTGCTTTGCATCCTTGTCAGTTACATTTTTTTTTAACACATTCTAATAGGTATAACACATTCTAGTAGGTAGTAGTATTTTACTGTGGTTTAAATTTATATTTCCCTAATGACAAATGATGACTGATGTTGTTGACCATTTTTGCATGTGCTTATTGGCAATTTGTATGTCTTCTTTAGTGAAATGTCTGTTCAAATCTTTTGTTCATTTTTTTGGGGGTGGTTTTTGGGGACCTTTGTTGTCTTATGATTAAATATTAAATATATTCTGAGTTTTTTATTATTCCAGATACAAGTTTTTCATTGGAAGTATCATTTTTTATAGTGTTTTTTAAAGAACAGAGTTTTAAATTTTGATAAAGTTCAATTTAAGTATTTTTTATGTTATGGATAATGGTTTTGTTTTACTTAAGAAATATTTGCTTAACCCAGTGTATAAGTTGTAATTGCTACTGTAAATCACCACAGACTTAAATGGCTTAAAACAACACAAGTTTATTATCTCATAGTTCTAGGTCAGAAGTTGAGATACAGCATGGCTCAGGTGAGTCCACTGCTTGGAGTCTCACCAGGCTATAATCAAAGCATCAGTAGGGCTGTTCCTTTTTGGAGGATCTGAAGGAGAATCCATTTCCAGAGTCATTCAGATTGTTCAAGAATTTAATTCCAGGCTGGGCGCAGTGGCTCACACTTGTAATCCTAGCACTCTGGGAGGCCAAGGCAGGAGGATTGCTTGAGCACAGGAGTTTGAGACCAGCCTAAGCAAGAATGGGACCCTGTCTCTACTAAAAATAAAAATAATAGCCAGGTGTGGTGGCAAGCACCTGTAGCCCCAGCTTCTTGAGAGGCTGAGGCAGGAGGATTGCTTGAGCCCAGAAGTTTGAGGCTGCAGTGAGCTATGATGATGGCACTGCACTCTAGCTGGGGTGACAGAGCAAGACTATCTCCAAAAAAAAAAAAAAGAAGAAGAAGAAAGAATTCACTTCCATGCAATTGTAGAAGCTCCTTTCCTTATTTGCTGTAGGCTGTGAGTCATTTTGAGTTTTTAAAGGCCACCTGTATTCCCTGGCTCGTGACTTCCTTCATCTTCATGTCAGAGACAGCTTGAAGATGTCTCTCATGTTTTGAATCTCTCGTGCCTCCTCTGCAGCATCTTTCTTACTTAAACTCAACTGATTATAGACTTTAATTACATTTACAAAATACCTGCACATGTATACCTAGATTAATGTTTGATTGACTAACTGATGACTGTAGCCTAGCCAAGTTGACACATCAAAAAACCATCACACCTAGGATCACAAAAATTTTCTCTCTTGGTTTCTTCTAAAAGTATTATAGTTTTATATTGTACATTTAGGGCTATGGTCCATTTTGAGTTAATTTATATATATATAGTATGAAGTATGTGTTGAGGTTCATTGCTTGCCATATGAATGTGTCTTGACTTTTAACCACTTTCAGTCATTACAACAGAACAGATTTTATTTTGCTAAAAAGCTGTTTTACCAGTAAAATATGCATTAATATGGTAGGGCTTGATGCTAGTTGTCAGCAAGCTACTAAATAGCTCTTTTGATAGTTAGAGCAGGAAGGACAGCCTTTAATCACTGCCTCTGATTGATGCCACTTATCAGGCCTGTGTTATGCTGTGTCTCGTTCTTGCAGATCTCCTTCTTTCCAGAGTCAGGACAGCCAGAGTGCTTAAAGGAGATGAGCCTAGAGTCAAAGAGTGGGGGCCGAGTTCAGAGACGTTCTGCTAAGATAGCTGTATACCACCTGCAGGAGCTGGCCTCTGCTGAACTGGCCAAGGAATGGCCTAAGCGGAAGGTGCTTCAGGACCTGGTACCAGATGATCGGAAGGTAAGGTAGAAACTTGTATTAATTTTAGAATCATTATGTCTAATAAAAAGTAAATGTACTAGAATAAGTATATGATATTTTGCTTATTTATCCTTAGAGATAAAGTACATCTGATCCAGCTTCAGTGTTTGGATTCAGATAGGTCTTAGAGTGACAGTCTGTTTTATAAGTTCCTTAAGGAGCCCTCTTACCTACTTCCAGAGGAAACCTGAATTCCCAGCTTAGATTTTTTGCTTAGTCTTTGTCCAGTGGGTTTCCATTTTGTTAGTTTATATGTATTATAGTAGTTCATATTTAGTTTAAGTAAGTGGTTTCAATTTATTTTGTAGCAACAACTCTCTCCCCCTTTTTTTCAAAATAAAAGCTTATACAAAACATCAAAACAGATTTGCTCTGAATAACTGGGGATAGCCTTGTCTACTTGGCCTTCTCCTTGATATTTTTATCATCTGCCTACATGGCCCCAAGCATGCTTCTAAAGGGTGCAGAACCTATTTGGAAACTATTGGCTTAGAATAGATCACCCAGGGAGGAGCATTATTTAGCCAAAAGGAAACAGGGAGTATTTGACTACAGGCTGGTCTTGGGAACAGGTTGAGAAGATATATAATAAGAACTAAGATCAGAGCTAAGGACCTATTTACTCTCCAGGGTATCAAGAAGAATAGTTTAGATTTGGCATAGGGCTTTGACCCATATGAGAGGAATGTTGTCTTAAAATAAGGTCAAATCCTAGTTTTCAACACTTTTTTTTTTAATTAAAATTCTTTTTTTAACAACACTTTTTTTTTTTTTTGGAATAAAAATCAGTCTTACTGGTGTTCAAGGAGTTGGATCATGTTTTTGTATATAAGAGCATCCTTTCTTTTTTCAGACTTATTTCTACATTTTTTTTTCTGGTACAGGCTAAAGTACGTGGCTATATAAATTGAATTTAATGAGGATTTCGCACAGTGATACATATCATGATATTGCAGTCAAGTTTCACTGTGTATAGTATATGGTAGAGAATTTGAAACAAATATTTGTTAAGATTGGTAGTCTTTTCTAGCAGTCAGTTTCTTAAAATCATCAGTTATATATTTTTGATAGTATATGGGTAAAAGGCATTATTACTTCTTAAACATAAAAAGTTAATTTTTGAAGAGATAATATATTCTTGTGGTTCACAAGTCAAAGTGATGATAAACACTGAGACATCCCACTCCCACCCTGTCCTGTTCTATCCTGTTTCCATGGTTAACCATTCTTACTAGTTTCTTGTGCATCTTCCCAGTGTTTCTTGATGTATACATAAGCAATATATATATCTTTTTAAACTTTCAATTCTGAAATAATTGTAGATTAACAGGACAGTTGCAAAATTGGTAGAGTTTCCCTAGGGTCTTCAACCAGTTGCCCTAAATGCCCATCTTACATAACTATACCATAGGGTCCCATCAGGATCCTGTGTTTTATTTCCTTACTGTGTCTCCCTAGTCTCTTCCAATCTGTTATAGTTTCCCTGGCTTTGTCTTTTGTGTCCTTGATGCTTTTGAAGAGGACTGGCTGGCTATTTTGTAAAATGTTCCCCAATATGGATCTGTGTGGTGTTTTCTCAGGATTAGTTTACGGGGTTATATGTTTTGGGAAATAATACTACCAAAGCATTGTTAGCCCTCTCAATGCATAATTTCAGAGATAGTGAAAGGAAGGCCGGGTGCAGTGGATCATGCCTGTAATCCTAGCTCTCTGGGAGGCCAAGGCAGGTGGATTGCTCAAGGTCAGGAGTTTGAGGCCAGCCTGAGCAAGAGCGAGACCCCATCTCTACTAAAAACAGAAAGAAATTAATTGGCCAACTAAAAGTATATAGAAAAAATTAGCCGGGCATGGTGGTACATGCCTGTAGTCCCAGCTACTCGGGAGGCTGAGGCAGGAGGATCACTTGAGCCCGGGAGTTTGAGGTTGCTGTTAGCTAGGCTGACGCCACAGCACTCTAGCCCGGGTAACAGAGCAAGACTCTGTATTAAAAAAAAAAAAAAAGATAGTGAAAGAAAAAAAAAAAGGAAACATATGATGTTGATGCTTCTTTTTACTGGTTATAACTTTGGTCAGTTGGTTAGGGTATGTCTTCCAGATATCTCTATGGTAAGATTACAATCTTACCATTTGCAAATGAGTGAATATTTTGTGGGGAGATTGAGACTACACACATATGCTGTTTCTTATTATACTTCTGCCCACTTAAATTAGCATCCATTGATGTTTCTTGCCTGCAAGAATTACTACTATGGCAGTAATTTTCTGTTCCTATCATTTTTTCTACAATTATTATTTAGAGTTCTACTATGAGAAAGATCTGTCCTTGTCCTTTATTATTTATATCAGTAGACCCATAGATATATTATATTCTGTGGGTTATAATTCAGTGCTATTCTTATTTATTTTGCTGCTCAAAATGGCCCAAATTTGGTCATTGAGAGCTCTTTCAGGTGGGTTCCTGTGTCTTTTTGACATGCCCCTAATATTTTTTGAGCATGTTCTTACTTTCTGGCACCATAAGATAGTAGGTTTATCTTGCAACTTCTCTGCCTTAGGCCTGGAATCAACCATTTCTCTAAGCAACCCTGGCTCCTTTTAGTAGAGAATATATTTAGAAGCAAAGATTTGAGTGCTAGTTGTACTCATCGCTCCTGGAGTATCATTGCTTCTTTGCCTTCTTGGTGGATAGAAGTAGGATGTACATGTATGTATGTTCATGTACGTACATGTACATGTCCATATTTATTTATTTGTTTATCTGGATGTATATTAAAAGCCATATCATCTTCTATTCCAATCTAACACTACAAGCGTCATTCTAGCCTTCCTTGTTCGTTATTTGTAACTCCTTTCTCCAACAGTGAGAAACCTAGCTCTCATTATCCACAGTGTATTTATTTATTTTCTTAATTCTAGTATCACATAAAGTAGTTTCAGAATTACTAATCTCATTCACCCCCCAAAATTTAAGGCTAGGCATGGTGGCTCATGCCTGTAATCCTAGCACTCTGGGAGGTCAAGGTGAGAGGATCACATGAGCTCAGGAGTTTTGGGGTTGCAGTGAGCTATGATGACGCCATAGCACTCTAGCCCAGGCAATAGAGTGAGACTCTGTCAATAAATAAATAAATAAATAAAATACATACATACAAATATTCTAACTAGACGGTAATATTTGTGTATAGTTCTTTTCATCTTAAGCCTTATAGTATTTAGTCAAAGTAATATTTTCCAAAGTTACTTAGGTTAGTTTTTTCTTTCCCTCCCCCTTCATTGTGTTACTCATTTGTAATAGGTTCATGTGTTACATTTATTAAGTTTTGGGTTCTACCTACATCGTATTGAAACTATTCATTTATTTTGGAGGTTTGTGAAACATTATCATGGTTCCAAATCAAACCTATATGAAAAGGTATACTTAGAGAAGCATCATTATCCCTCATCCCTACTATTATATTCTATTCCCATTATTCTTTTCTATTTTATTCCTGTCCATCCCTGAAGATAGCTAATTAGTTTCTGGTCTGTCCTACTTGTATTTATATGGGATGAATGATCAAATACATGAATATTCTCATATATCCTCTTCCTTCTTACTGTCGATACATTTTGCACTCTGCTTTATTTCACTTAACAGTTATTCCTTGATACACTCAAGAGGTTATCTAGGACCTATAAATCTAATACCTGTATACTCAAGAGGTTCTAGGACCTCTGTGTATACCAAAATCCATGCATACTCAAGTCCCACAGTTGGCCCTGCCAAACTTGTATATATGAAAAGTTGGCTCTCTGGCCGGGCGCGGTGGCTCACGCCTGTAATCCTAGCACTCTGGGAGGCCGAGGCAGGCGGATTGCTCAAGGTCAGGAGTTCAAAACCAACCTGAGCGAGACCCCGTCTCTACCATAAAAATAGAAAGAAATTAATTGGCCAACTAATATATATAATATAAAAATCAGCCGGGCATGGTGGCTCGTGCCTGTAGTCCCAGCTACTCGGGAGGCTGAGGCAGGAGGATTGCTTGAGCCCAGGAGTCTGAGGTTGCTGTGAGCGAGGCTGACGCCACGGCACTCACTCTAGCCTGGGCAAGAAAGCGAGACTCTGTCTCAAAAAAAAAAAAAAAAAAAAAAAAGTTGGTTCTCTGTATATGTGGATTTCACATATTGTATTTTTGATTTGTGTTTGGTTGAAAAAAAACCTATGTATAAGTGGACCTGTGCAGTTCAAACTTGTGGTGTTCAAGTGTGGATATATAGTTCAACGGTGAACTATATATATCCTGAAAATCACTCTAAATGTGTTCAGAGAGATCATCCTCATTCTTTTCCTTTTTTTTCTTTTTGGTGAGATAGGGTCTCAACTCTGTCACCCAGACTGGAGTTCGGTGGTTTGATCACACCGCTCACTGCAGCCTCTAACTCCCAGGCTCAGGCAATCCTCCTGCCTTAGCTTCTCAAATAGCTGGGACTACAGGAGTGTGCCATCACACCCAGCAAATTTTAAAATTTTCTGTAGAGATGGGTCTTGCTATGTTGCCTGTGCTGGTCTTGAACTTGTGGGCTCAGGTGATCCTTCCACCTCAGCCTTCCAAAGTGCTGGGATTATTGTTATGAGCTACCATGCCTGGGCTTCATTATTTTTTTGTAGCTGCATAGTATATAGTTTATATAAATAAAGTTTGTTATATAAAAATAATAGTTTATACAGATATTCCCCTATCACCATAAAAGGATTTTAGATGGATTCATTTACACTAGCTTCAGAGGAAAGTGAATGCTTATAAATAAAACCAGCTCTATCCTCTGAGATCTTTCATAAGTTTACCAGGGGTTCTTTGGGCTGCCTTCCTTCCTTACTTCCCCATTGTCTCTATGGACTTTGGTTTGTTTTTCTATCTCAGAGAATCAGCTTCTTTTCAGACACTTCCATTATTGAAGCAGGAAGATTGTTTACTCGCCGGAAGTATAGGTATTACCCTTGGTAGACTTTGTAGAACTGTCTCTGCAGGTGCCATCTCTTCTCTGGAAACTCCACTTTTAGTTGTAAGGAGAGACTTAACTCATGTCAAAGCATCTGAAAGGAAGTGCTAGGAAAAATTCTACTTTTGCAGTATAAGCAAAGATTATGTGTTTTGTTCCCTGATTTCTCTCCCATCCCTGTTTTGGGTTGAACTTTAGGGTTTTTTTTTTCATTTTTTTATTTCCCCCCCCTAATTTTTTTGTTTTGGAATTTTAAAAAATATAAAAAATTAGCATGTTATCATTGAAGAAAAATTAGAAATTCAGATAAGCAATAAAAAATATTAAAACTATTAAAAATTGTGCCACCCAAATAATACTTCCATGAACACTTTGTTTATAGAATCCTAACCTTTAGCCATCTACATATATTTGTGTTGAATTTGCATATGAATGCATATTTGTATCCATTTCTCTCTTTTTTTAGTAAATATATTGACTGTGTAATGCTCTAAAGCTTTTTCTCTTTTTTAACTGTAGATAAAGTGCTATATCTGAAAGTCTCTTGTCCTCTGTTAAAAATCAGACTTTTCTAAAACTTAACAATAGACAATTAATTATACTTACTAGTTTCAGGAGCTATAGATGTTCTCACATCTTTACAGTTATTTTACGTATAGAAATGTACTTGTGGACTCCAGAATTATATAACCTGAAGAGGTGGGTTTGAAACTTTTGGGGTATTTTGGTTGGGAGTTTGATTTCTATAATAAAATGTTTCTTGTCTTATAGTTAAAATATACTCGCCCTGGGCTGCCTACCTTCAGCCAGGAAGTACTGCACAAATGGAAGTCAGATATCAAGAAGTATCATCGTATTCAGTGTCCTAACCAGGTGGTTTTTTCTCATTCATTTATTCAGTAAATGTTTATCAAGCATCTGCTGTTGTTTCTGTTATTTATTCCTTAGAGACAAAACATCTGAACCTTAGTGGCTTAAAACAACAGTTATTTTATTTGTTCATAATTCTGTAGATCAGTAATAATTTTGTTAGGGCTCAGCAGGGCTGTTCTGCTGTACATGGAATCAACTGGGATCACTCATGAAGTGTATTCGGCTCAAAGCTCAGATGTGAGTGGAATGTTCCAGATGGCTTCTATGCAGCTGCATTCAGCTGGGAGCTTGGCTCTCCATATGGCTTCTCCCTCTAGCCAGAGTAGTTGGCTTACCAGCAGGGTACATAGTGACTGACTTCTCAGAGAGTATTCTAAAAACATAAAAGCAGAAACTGCAGATCTCTGAAGGCCTAGTTTCAGAATTTGCATATCATCACTTTCATGGCATTCTATTGATCAAAGGAGTCACAGGGCTAACCTGGATTCAAAGGAAAGTAAATAGATTCCACTTCTTGATGAGAAGAGTGGCAGTGAATTTATAGCGATCTTTAAACTACCACAGCTGTAGTGGATAGTGTATTTTGGGGAGGAGTAAATATAAAAGAAGTGGGAGATGCATTTGTGCTAAATAAAACAGATTAAAAAAATCTTACCATACAATTTTCTGTGTTTCTCTTCAGTGTCAGAGAAAGTACCAAGGAAGAGAATGGTTTACGATTTTCTAAACACCTTAGTCACCTTCTGTTTCTTTCTTTTACCTTTTCTTGATTTTCGTTGCTTTTGTGGCTTGCATGTGAATTATTTTTTTGTTTGGTTTCTGGCACTATTTATTTATCATCTTCCTCCCAAATGTAGAGTTAGTCATGTAAATGGCCAGATTACTAAGAGAAGGGAGCTATTTGACATAGTCTTCACATTATCTCTTCTCTTTTTCAGGGTTGTGAGGCTGTCTACAGTAGTGTTTCTGGCCTCAAAGCTCACCTGGGCTCTTGTACACTGGTTTGTAACCTTTTGAACTTAATATCTTAATATGTCCTCTAAACTAGTCTGACATGGAAGAGAATTCAGTTTAGGTGAACAGCTAGTTGTCCTGTTTGCTGTTATATTTAGAGGTTGCTTTATTTTTTTATGTCCCAAAGATTCTTGGTCTGTTATTGGGTGGGATGCCAGGGTATGTCCAATACTCAGATAAGACCAACACAGTTGTAAGTCATGCCAATTAAAGGAATTTGGAGACAAATATATTAGTTCTGAGTTCCTACCAGAGATTTAGCTCCTTCCACTGGAACCTCTCCCACACTGGGCCTGTCCTGTTTTATTGGGCCTTACAGACTTTCTAGAATCAACTTAACATGTGCTTATCTGGACAAGTGAAGATCCTCTAAACCCATGTGAACTTACTGGCCTCTGGGGATAAGGAGGTGGGATAGGGTGTCAGGCTAATAGCCATTCACCTCACTGAATCTTTTCCATGTTGACCCAGGTGTCCTACAACCCACCAGCCATGGGAATTGCTGCCACTTTCCAATTCCATTCAGAAGTATCTCCTCACACAAAATGAGCACCATGGAAACCTGAAGCTTCAGGAGGGGAGATAAGTCTCAGTTCAAGGCAACAAGGGAGTTGTAGGCATCTAAACCAGATCTGTCCAGGAATGCTTAGGAGTTTGTCATCTTGATCCTAGTTTCTGAGTCCTTAAACTAGGTATTATGGATGGTACTCTTCTAATTCTGGATTTCCAAGGCGCTCTTTGCAACAGTGGATCATAGTGGGAAGAACTGCACATTGTACCTCTGGTGAACTTTGGGAGTTTGATCATTTTGGGGGAGGAACCAAGAGAATGTGAAAATGAAGTGAAAGGAACATGGGAAGGTAGAAGACCGTAGCATGGTATATAATAAGAGCAGGAGAATGTCAGGTTGTGTTGAAGGTGGGGTGGGTGTTTGGTATAGAATTGCATTAGGATAGACAGATCCTGGTGATAGTCAGTTCAAACTGGTTTTCCTAAATCTATTGCTGTTTTGGATCTTCCTTCTTATCTTCGCTGAAGTAGAATTCCGTCTTTTCATCCCTGACAATCCCTGCACATGGCCCAGATAACGTGTTCCTGAATTTACCAATAATCCTCTTTTGTTTCTCTCTTGGAAATAGGGAAACTTTGTGGCTGGAAAGTACAAGTGTCTTCTATGTCAGAAAGAATTTGTGTCAGAGAGTGGTGTCAAGTATCACATCAACTCTGTCCATGCTGAGGTGAGGTCTCTCTCCCATCCCATCGTGTCTTTGTAATCCTGTGGGCCTGATATGTATACCACAAGAGAGGTGGCCTTTGTCCTTGTTTTTGTGGGCTAGGACTGTCAAGGAAAATAACTATAAAGTGGTTACCAGAGACATTGGAGTTAAAATACTTTCTAAAATTAGATCTATAATTGTATTTTTCTGTGAAAGCTTTTGAAATCACTGTGGCCGTAAGCATCCTTGAGCTCTTCTAAAATCTCTTAAATCCAATTAAATCAGGCATTTGGGAAGAAAGTTGAGTTTACATGTTTGAAATGTTTATGTCACAGCGACCTCTATACTGCTGTGCTTTCTAGCATTCTAATGTCTTCTGCGAACCTGTTTTTTTTTTTTTTTTTTTTTGAGACAGAGTTTCACTTTGTTGCCCAGGCTAGAGTGAGTGCCATGGCGTCAGCCTGGCTCACAGCAACCTCAATCTCCGGGGCTCAGCGATCCTACTGCCTCAGCCTCCTGAGTAGCTGGGACTACAGGCATGCACCACCATGCCCGGCTAATTTTTTGTATATATATTTTTAGTTGGTCAATTAATTTATTTCTATTTTTGGTAGAGACGGGGTCTCGTTCAGGCTGGTTTCGAACTCCTGACCTTGAGCAATCCGCCCGCCTCGGCCTCCCAAAGTGCTAGGATTACAGGCGTGAGCCACCATGCCCGGCCCGAACCTGTTTTTAATGTCCTTTAGAATACTGCATCAAATAGTTATAAAGGACATTAAGATAATTGGGAAAATTTGAATATTGACTATATTAAATTATAATGTTGTATTAATGTTAACATTCCCAAATGTGATAATTGTATTGTAGTTATGCAGGAGAATGCCCTTGTTCTTAGGTATATACATGCTGCAGTATTTAGGGATGACATATAATGATGTCTGCAACTAACTTGCAAATGGTACAGCAAGAGAAAGAAGGAAGTAAGAAAAGAAGGAAGAAAGAAAGGAAAAGAGAATAACAATGGTAAATCTAGGTGTTCATTGAACTACTGTAACTTTTCTGAAGGTTTGTAATTTTTCAAAATTAAAAAGTAAGAAAAAACTGTATATAAAAATGCTTTAAAGTTCAGAAGGTAGAGTTTTCTCTTGGGGAAAGTTTTTTCATGGTACAGGTGAACAAGGATGTTGTTTTATTATATAATTAAGTACCATTTCTGCAAAAGCTTAAGGAGTAGAATATACATTCTCTTGGAATATCTTACTGCATAAACTATTACTGCCTGATGAAAAAAAATACAGGGAGCACCTTCAGCTATTCTCTCCCCTCAAATTAATAGCTTTTAACAATGTAGGCTTTAATTAATTTCATCAAATGTGGTTCTTGTTGCTTTACTGGTTAAGCTTTGGGAATCCTTAACTAAAATCTGAGATTTCTTCTGGAAGGCAGTCGTATCTTTTTTATAATAATAGTATATCTTTTTATGCTTCAGGAAGTATTTGGAAGATAATTATCCCCTGACAAAATCTGGCCTTTATATATAGATAATTGTTTTCTCTGGTTTCTTCCTAAAAAGTTGGAACCAACAAATTTTGCTTAGTTTGGGACTAGCTTTCAGTCATTTGTTCACTGATTAATGCGTATATTAATGAATTTTAGGGGTGCTAAAACATCTTTACCCTGTTACTTCCTCCCTGCCTCACATTTTCTTACACTACTCTTTTTTAATGGAAAATTTCAAACACATGAAAATAGAGACAGTAGTGTAATGAACCCAGTATACTGGTTCAGTCAGCCAACTTCAATAGTCACCAGTGTATGACCAATCTTGTTTCTTTTAAAACCTCATTCAGACTGGGCGCGGTGGCTCACGCCTGTAATCCTAGCACTCTGGGAGGCCGAGGCGGGCGGATTGCTGGAGGTCAGGAGTTCGAAACTCAGCCTGAGCAAGAGCAAGACCCCGTCTCTACTATAAATAGAAAGATATTAATTGGCCAACTAATATATATAGAAAAAATTAGCCGGGCATGGTGGCGCATGCCTGTAGTCCCAGCTACTCAGGAGGCTGAGGCAGTAGGATTGCTTGAGCCCAGGAGTTTGAGGTTGCTGTGAGGTAGGCTGACGCCACAGCACTCACTCTAGCCTGGGCAACAAAGGGAGACTCTGTCTCAAAAAAAAAAAAAAAAATAAATAAATAAATAAATAAATAAATAAAATTTACCAGTAGCCACATTTTTAAAAGTATAAAGAAAACAGGTGAAATAATTTCAATAATTGAACCCAATATATAAAAAAATTACATGTTAATACATTATTAATGAAATATTTTACATTTTTCCATGCCAAAGTTTTGGAATTTGGTGTTTATTTTACACTGAAAGCATATCTCAATTTGAACTAGCCACTTTTAAATAGCTCATTTACCACATGTGGCCAGTGGCTATCTTATTGTTTAGTATAGGTCTAGAAGCTTTGTCTTCCTTTTTTTTTAACTTGCCATTTGTTGAAGAAACCAGGTTGTCAAATACATTTATCAACATTCTGGATTTTGTTGATTGTATCCTGCAGTAGTATTCCTCTTTCCTGGCTATTTCCTATAAATTCACAGATCTAGAAGATTGATCAGAGCACTTAATTAGATTCAAGGATTTTTTCGGGGGGTGGGGTAGGGGCAAGAATACTTAGTAGTTGGGTTTCATGTCTCCCACTCCTTAATTTTTTAAAGTGAGGGTCAAAGAGGTTTAAAGTACCCAGAGTTATGCCGTACTAATATGTGCTTCTAATAACTGCTCTGTATTAGATTTCTGCAGTTTAAAATATGGAATTCTAAGGTATAGTCCCATGTCTGTTTCCTTCTTACTGTGTTCTGCCCTAATCATGCCCCCTTTTTTATCATTCTTCCCACATCCCTTCTTTATGCTCTTCACTATGTTTTTGACTGGATAATGTTTATATTTTGCCTCTCTAGGATTGGTTTGTTGTAAACCCAACAACAACCAAAAGCTTTGAAAAGTTGATGAAGATAAAGCAGCGGCAGCAAGAAGAAGAAAAGCGGAGGCAGCAGCACAGGAGCAGAAGGTCTCTAAGAAGGCGGCAGCAGCCTGGCATTGAGCTTCCTGAGACAGAGCTGAGTCTTAGAGTAGGGAAGGATCAGAGGAGGAATAATGAGGAACTGGTAGTGTCCTCCTGTAAGGAACCAGAGCAGGAGCCAGTGCCAGCACAGTTCCAGAAAGTAAAGCCCCCAAAGACTAATCATAAACGAGGAAGGAAATAGGCAGTCAGTGTGAAAGCGCTCCTAGGAGAGCGGATGTGATGCTGTTGTCACGGGGACATGTGCTGGGAGGACTGAGTCATGGGGCTGAGTGAAGATTCTTTCAGCTGTTTGTGTAAGGCTGGGACTTTCTCAGTTCCTTCCTCCTGTGTAAATTTCACTGTCTTCCCTTCTTATTCACTTTCATTCCCCTGTCCCCTTTCAGTAGGTTTTCCTGCTATTCCTCATTGGAGTCCTCTTATTTTTCCTCTTATCTTGCCCAAAGAGTTCCCTCTTAAGGCCAACTATAGGCCCCTCTTGCCCTGTATAAGACTAAGAAACCTGTTTGGTTGTTCTTTCCTTCCTGGGGTATAGAATGTTCTTGGAAGATCCATTGATTTAGTAGCTACTCTATCATCTAGCTTATAAAACCATTCCAAACTAATTTTTAAAACCATAACTGATTTATCATTTTGTATTTGTGATATAACAAGCCTAGAAGCTAGAACTGTTGTCATTTATGTAATATGGTTCCCGTGTCTCCTTGGGAAGCAAACTTTATGGAGGCTATTTGTCTTCTCAATATGGTTTTAGGATTGAAAGTAAGAAAATGGACTTAAGATGAAAAATCTAGAACCTCCCTACACTGGTTATACTGAGAAATGCTGTTTGTACCAAGTAGCAGTGACTAGATCTACAGACATGCAACCTTAGGAGTAATGTGTCCCATTAAAATGACTGGAAAGAAAAGGTAGAAGCAGCAATAAATACTGCCCCAACTTTCCTGAGGCCTCATCCATTACCACGATCAGTACCCTCCTGAAGTTTACTTTTGCTCCCTTGGTTTTAAGGATTGAGAAATAATAGCATTGCCCCTGATGCTTTGACATGGTCTCCTAGTGCTCCTGGTAATGCCACTAAGATTGGAAACCAAGGTGCACATTCCTTCCCCACTGGACTTTACTTCACTTGTTAGTCTGCACCCCAGTAAGTCCTCATCAATCCCTTTAGCCAACCTCTGTCTCTTTGAATTTTCTGAGAATGTTGTCCTTCTATCCTCTTTTATATATGGAGTTCTATCCTCTTTATATCCTGAGACTTTGACACCAGATGTAGATATTTATCTGGAGCTGGAAAGGAAAATTCTTTTTCCATACCTCATGCCTACCTGGTAATGTTTAATGGGCTATTTCTCTTTGAGGGTTGCTTTCTCTGGAGCATTGGTTAGAGCAGCTTTGTTGTCATGTTTCTGGATTCTCTTCCCCCTTTTGCATAAATATTGGTCTTATATATTCTTGCCTATCTTGTGGCATATGTCATACAAAAAATTAACTCTGATAAGGACAAGTACTACCTTTTCAAATTCTGAAAGGCTATTCAACTCTTTCTCTTTTCTCTGTGCTCCTCCAAATAGCTTTAAAATGCAGGCTTTTGTGAAGACCACTTTCCAACAAGGGAGCACTGAAACCTGATTTGGATACTGCCAGGATAGGTAGCAAAGGACATGGCATATCCACTCTATGTTTTCATTGGCAGTGTACCCTTAAAGCCCTTTTGGTAGATGAGGGTTGTTAGGGAGGAGAAATGAAGAAGCTATGTTAATTTCTGGTGAGTAAGAACTGGGGAATGTTTGGCAATGACAAAAGAAATAAATGACTCTCAGTTAGAATGATGTTTCCAGTTGTTCTTTGACTCCGAACTGCTACATGACTCCTTGTTGACACTGGATGGGGGTAAAAAGATGGCTAGAGCTGGGGATGAGTTTGCTATAAGCTCCAAATGCAGGTGTCTCAGTTCTTTAGCTCCTGAAATCTGCTGGTTGAAATGATTAATCTGAGTTTAAAATGAATTAATATAGGAAACTTGCCCAGTCTCATTCAGGGCCCTTGCAGGCTCTCCTTTTCTTTTTCCTTACCGAGGCCAAGGATCAGCAGGACTCAGTATAGCCTATCTTGATCACACTGTTGAGTTTTTAAGTTAAAAAAAAAATTCATTAGAATAACAAACTAAGTTTGACAATATCAGGTATATCTAGATTGTGGATCATTGTGAAGTTTCATACATGGTTTGTAATGTAAGTTGGTACAATTACTTTGAAAATGATTTGGCAGTATCTAAAATAGTAAAGTTGAAGATATATATCTAAAGACTCAGCAGTTTCACTCCTAGATATATACAGAGAAACGTTTCCCTTTGCCTAAGTGTTCAAAGAGACATAAAGAAGAGTGATTATCACAGTACAGTTTACAATAGAGAGACACTGGAAATGTGTATGAGAGACTAGTAGCTGTCCACCAGAAATTATAGGACTATAGGGCAAATGGCTAGACTGCATTTCTCAGTTTTCCTCATCCCCCCCACCTCCAGTCTCCATAGTGAAGAGGTAGAAGCTATATTCTCTCCTATGGAATGTGAGTGGAAGTGATGTGTGCCACTTCTAGGCTAGAACTTTTAAGGGAGTGAGTATACCTCCATGCTTGCTTTTTCCTTTTTCTAGCTAGATGCACATGATGATGGGGCCCTAGGGACTGGGAGAACACAAAATGGAAGATAGTTGATTGCCTGAAACACCCGGTGAAGGAGACCTACTTGCCAACCAGGAACATCTACCTGAAACTTATGTGAGCAAGCAACAAATGTTTGTTATTTGAGACATTATACATTCATGGGTCTCTTTGTGAGCTTACTCTGATACACAACCTACTTGTCCATCTTTAGGCGAATGGAAAAATATGTGATATAGTCATATAGTAGAATACTGTACAAGCTATAAAATTAACTAGGGCTTGTATCATCATCATGAATATATCTCAAAAATAATGTCTGGGAAAAGCAAGTTAGAGAATACAGTAAATATACTATTTATTTAAGGTGCAAAAACAATGCTGTCTGTGGGTATATGTTTACGTATTTACCTATATTTATATAAATATCATGAATACACACACAGGATGATAAACATCAAATTTAGGATAATGAGATTCAGAGGGATTTCAACTGAATTTATAATTTCTTTCTTTTTTTTTTTTTTTTTGAGACAGAGTATCGCTTTGTTGCCCAGGCTAGAGTGAGTGCCGTGGCGTCAGCCTAGCTCACAGCAACCTCAAACTCCTGGGCTCAAGCAATCCTTCTGCCTCAGCCTCCTGAGTAGCTGGGACTACAGGCATGCGCCACCATGCCTGGCTAATTTTTTTTTTCTATATATATTAGTTGGCCAATTAATTTCTTTCTATTTATAGTAGAGACGGGGTCTCGCTCTTGCTCAGGCTGGTTTCGAACTCCTGACCTCGAGCAATCCTCCCACCTCGGCCTCCCAGAGAGCTAGGATTACAGGCATGAGCCACCACGCCCGGCCAAATTTATAATTTCTTAAAGTGGATTTGTTGTAACTTCCTGTATTTTTTGTATGTCAGAAATATTTTTTTAAAAGTTAACAGAAAAGAAAAATATATTCTGTTCACTTCCTCCTTAGAAAGGGAACACTAGAAATTTTACTTCTGCTTCATCTTAACCTTTGATTGTCTCTCACTCATCCTATAGTTACTTCTTCCCGACTTGAGCAGATAGCACTGCTGTGCATCCAGATGCTTGGGCCAAAAATGTGTTAATAGTTTTTGATTCTTCTCATAGCAAATCCATTAGGAAGTCTTGTCGACTACCAAATAAATCTCTAATCTATTCACTCTACTGCCACCCCAATCCAAGCTATCATCACCTCTTGCCTAGACTGCAACAGTAGCTTCCTAATTGATTACTTTTTTCTGGATTGGATACACTCCACATAACAGTTGTAGTAGGTTTTTTAAATTGTAAGTCATTCACCTTCTGAAAGCCCATGGCCTACAAGGCCTCGCTGCTCATACTCCTGCCAACTTCGTCTTCTCCACCCATGTTGTCTCACCATTCCCTGAATACACTTTAGCCACATGCCCATTTCTGTTCCTTGAACCTACCAAGCTTATTCCCATCTAAGGGACTTTGCATTCATTGTTGCCTCTGCCTGGAATGGTGAACCCAGTTTTTGCACAGCAGGCTTCATTTTATCATTCAGGTATTAAATTTCACCTCAGAGCTCTTTTCCATTTAACATTACTTTCTACAAAACCTGCTTAATTTTCTTCATAGCAAAGCAGACAAAAAGTAGGTTCAGGTCTTAGTTGGCCAACCTGTTGCTCACTTGGGGGTATGGATGATTTCAAAGTACCTTATCAGATGTGATTCATCCTTTAATGTCTTTAAGCCCTTACTATGAAACGGACAGCTTTAACCAGTGTATATCACATCCATTAACTGGGATAATAGCAAGTAAAAATAAACTGAGATCAGATGGAGGTTATCCATGCCTAAATTAGACAAGATAGCAATGGCAGGAGGGGAATTAACAGCTGAAGAATGAGAGTCTAAGATCCTTCCTACTTTCTTTTATCAGCTTTAGGCATATATTTTCCTAGAGAAAATATATAGAGAATAGGGCTTTAATCTGTCTTGGATACCATGTTTTCCAAGTTTAGTCTTTCTCTGTTTTTAGCTCATGAATTTAAGTATTTAGGTTAAAGTACCTGCATGCTATCTAAAGTTCTAATTTCTGCATTAAAACTACAGTTTTATTATTTGCACACTAATATAAGACATACATGAGTGGTAATAAGAAGAATGATGAAGTAGAAAATTCATCACATTGGAACAATAAGATCAATGGGTAAATAATCATGCTTTTATTATTTTTTAATATTTTCAGTCCAAAGAACTACTTGAATATTTTTATTTTTAATAACAAAACACATTTAGTAACAAAGGAACTACATAAAAATATTTAACATAAAAGTTGTTAAAGGTAGAAGGTAAAGGCACATTGAAGGAGAATCCTCTTTTAACCCAATTTTAAATGAATTCACTTCACATACACAGTTGAAAATTAAGGAAAATTATTTTGAAGTTCTTCACTAATAATTTCTGAAAAACATAGTTAATTATATTTTCCTGTTGAGGGGCAATTAAAATATGAGATTATATTCTTATAGTAGGAGTCAGCATTCAAGTAAATCACTGATCTAAACTCAATGTTATAAATGCAAAAAAATACAACTACCCTAAAAATCAGTATATTAAGTTAAAATACTACCCTAGTTCTATTAAATGGGCATAAATGTATGTCACACATTAATTATAAAAGGTACTTCATGTGTTATAAAGTACACATGTAAGAAAATGCAATAAATGACCTAAAACTACTTACTACAATAAACGTTAAGTAATTTTAGTTGCCATCTTGGAATTTAGAATGCTGCTAGGGAAATGGATGGCACAAGACTCTCAAAAAGGGTTGCCCAAATATTTAAAAATTTTCTTTTGATACTTTTTCTGTAAATGAGCAGGAGCATTCAGTCATCTCAATGCTAGAGATGTTTCTTCAAAGAAGACATTTTCAAAAGTAAGAGTTGACCTAATATATGTCCCCTTCATCTTTGCTTACCTTTCTAATATATTCAAAGCTAAAACTGTAGGGGGCTTAGCATCAGATGAAAGGTCATTTTGCCTAGTACTTAACTAGACTTGCTGTTACCAGAGTACTTTTTCACTCATGAGAAAACTATAGAAGGAGCTATCTGGTCACTGGCACAAACTTTAAAAACAGCTTATAAACATTTTGTCTGCTGAGTTGATTGAAAGGAATGAGGATAAATTGATGTTAGTTAGCTATTTACTGAGCAGAAAGCACTTCAAAGTCAATCTGAAAATGTTATCCTTAAAGGTACTTTCTCTATAGAGAAATCTAATTTAACCACATAAATCACACAAGTGTTTTCCTTTCACTTCTAGTTGGTTTTTTTTTTGAGCTAGTTTGATGTATGGGTGTTTGAGAAATGGCTAGGAATTAGGGTCATGTATTAGGTTGACTAGAGATTTGTGGAACATATTGTTTATTAACACGCGCTAAGTAAAGAAAAAGCTAGTTAAGGGAAGCTGGTTACACAAATACCTAGTAGAGCGGCTGGAAAAAAGCACCTAATCCTCCACAGGAACTCACCATGATGGATATTTTACAGTAGTAATCTGAAATCCAAGCCTTCCTAACCAGATTAATGTAGTACCTAAGTGTGCTTACTCCAGTTCTTATTTAATCAGTGTTATTTTAAGAATTACTTTGGATTAATTCTTGATTTGGTGCCTAGGGGAGGGGTGGATGTGGTCTTTGGAGCATCCTGTTCTTTCAGGCACCAATTTTGCCTTCCTTGTAGTCGTTGCCTCCCCCGGATTAAGCACTCCACATACCACTGTTCCTGCTGCAGCAGCTGCTTCCTAATTTTTAACTGGCTTTGAGTAGCCTTCAACTTCTGGGATTGCTGAGTTAGCTGCAGCAATTTATTCTGTAACTGCTGGTTCTCTCTGATGATGCCAAGGGAGAATTCAAAAATAGACTGCTTTGCTGCCAACTCCAAGGCCTGGGCATTCCTCTTGTATTCCCTTCTTTTTCTCTTTCCCAACTGCCTTATGTCTGGCTCACTTAGTTGTTTCTCCAGGAATGCTTTTTCCTGGAGGAACTGGACCTGTGCTTTCTGTTTCTTTGCAGCTCCCTCAGCTTGGACTTTTTTCTCCTCCTTCTGTAATGTCTGTATTTCTAGTTCCTGTGTTTCTCTTAATATAGAAATGTCCCTCATTGCCTGCAATTGCTGCTTCAAATTGGATTGAATCTTTTCCTTTTGCAAGAGCTCTGTTTTAAGCATCGAAGTTTGTTGTTCATATCTGGAGGCTGACTCTTGTCGTCTTTGTTCAATCTCGTCACGCTTTTGTACATAGCTGTTCCACAGCTTCTCAGGTTGCCTTCTATAGTCCTCAGTTTTGTTAGTCACGTATTCCAGGAAGAATTTGTTCTCAGCCTGGACAAGTAACTTTTCTGTGTGTAGCTGCCTGTTGTCCTTCAGCAGTGGTTCCTGCTGGATTCGAGCTTGTTTTATTTGCTTGTTAAGTTCCTTCATTTCCACCAGTGTTTTTTCTTGAAGGATCCTTTCCGCCTGTCTTAGCTTCCCTGGCTTTAAAAAATTATTTATTAGACTAAAATATGATGGAGGGGACTTGAGGCCCTCAGCAAACCTGAAGAAAGAACAAATGAGACAGTCCTCTATCACTTCTTAATAAAAATTTAGGAAATAAAAAATACACAGTTGTCCTTTATTCATACAAGAAAATATTTTTGAGTACCCATTATATTCCAGACACCTTGCAATGGAGTATGGGGGATACAGCTGGCAGTAAAGATGAAGTATGTAGCTTACAATTTACAGTGGGTTCACTACAATACCACAAGGTACTACCTCAATTTTAAAAAGGAGAAAACAGGTTCATAGAGTTTAAGTGACTTGCTTATGATTTATACACCGCTAGCAAGTGCCAGAGCCTGACTATGAAACCCAGATTTTAGGACTTACTCGAACATTGTAGCAGCTACAAAGGGCCACAGAAACAGGGTGATGGAGAGTAAGAATAGTTTTCTCGACTCTCATCATCTTCCTCTAGTTTCTGAGTCCTTCAGTGAGATGGAAGGTCCCCTTCAGTACCTACTTGCACTTGGAATCCAAGCGTTCATCCCCAACATCATGGCCACTGTGTAGTTCACTGGGGGTGATCGCCAAGGAGCGAGCACTAGTGTCAAGGGCCTGAGACTCGTGGGAACAGCGTTCAAACGTGGACAGTTCTTGTAGTTTCTCTGGTCGGTGCGCAAAGGATCTCGGCACTGCCCAGTACCCCTGGGGGTCGCACCCTGCCCCAGTCACGGCCCTGAACGCCTCGGTTATTGAATAAGCCCTATCAGCCGGTTCTCCAGCGGCTCTGCTCTCTGCTCTTTGCGGAGCGAAAGTGACAGGCACATTCCTCGTTTTCTTACTGTGTGAACCCTGCCCTTGGTATCGCATCTCCTCTCGCCCTCCTGGGGACCAGGGTTTGCCCTTCCCAGGCACTACCGGACGGCGGTCAGAGCCCATCTCCTTGATCCCCCCAGCCTTCCCCTCGCTTGTCCAGCACCCCCACGCCCCCGCCACTGTCACTGGTCGATCCCCTAGCCGGGTCAGACACTAAAGAGATGCCCAGCCGTCCCTGCCGTTCACCCTTCCCTTTGCTCGCCAATGGTTCTATTTTCATTCGTAGCCCAGAGCGTTGCGGAAGTTTGTCTAGCCACGCGGCGTCTCCATGGTAGGTGGGCGGGCCTAGGGGAAAGATGGCGGCGCCCGCAGACGGAGCTGAGGCACAGGCTTCTGGGGGCCCTCGGCCCCCAGTGTGTCTCTTGGTGTTGGGAATGGCAGGATCCGGGAAGACCACCTTTGTGCAGGTGATTTACACAGTGCGGGCGAAGTAGGGGCGCGTGAGAAGTTGTCTGTGGTGGTTGGAAGGCCAGGGAGAAACGGAGGGAGGTCTCTTTGGGGAATTGGAGGGTACTGACGCGTGGGTTTCATGGACTTCCAGTCAACTGCGGTTCGATCCCCGCGAAACCTTCTAAGACCCTTGCCAGGTTAATTAAGGCTCTCTTCGCACCCTCAGTGCGTACTTGGTACAGCTTAACCACGTTGTTCAGGAATTGTCTTGCCAATAAAGTGCCAACTTCTTGGAGGAAGGGGCTTACAAGAAACCCTAGAGAATGATACAGTGGTAGCATACATGTTTTCGATGAAGATTTGCCGAAGAATTATTTCTCGACCGCCTACCATGCTCCAGGGACTGGGGTTACAGCGAAAATGAGGTTAACTAGATACTCGCATTCATGGAACTAAATATTTAATGGAGGAGATAGAAAAAGCCCACTACGTACGAACATACAAAACAAGTAATAAAGAGTAGAGGAGGCTCTGTTAGATAGGTGATAAAGAACGGTAGCGTTTGAACTGAGTGTTGAATGTTGGAGGGGGACATAAGGGGTGGATATTTCAGGTAGAAGGAAATCTAAGTGCAAAGTCTTTAGGATGGTTGATAAAGGAATGGAAGTTCTCTCTTGTCCCCTTATCGCCCCCTCTTTGACTCCTTCCCACTCCTTTCCCTTTGCAGAGGCTCACGGGACACCTGCATAGCCAAGGCTCTCCACCTTATGTGATCAACCTGGACCCAGCTGTACATGAAGTTCCCTTTCCTGCTAATATTGGTAAGTAAACCATATCATAACTTGTGTGAAGTGCTTCAAAGGGAATGAAAAGCCTCCAGCCTGCCAGTCTTTCATGCTTTCATGCCAGTCTTAGTGCTTTCATTTTGGTTTTTTTTTTTTTTTTGAGACAATCTCACTCTTGTTTCCCCTGCCAAAGTGCAGTGGTGTCATCATGCCTCATTGCAACCTCAAACTCCTGGGCTCAAGCGATCCTCCTGCCTCAGCCTCCCAGAGTGCTAGGATTATAGGCGTGAGCTACCATGCCCAGCTGCATTTTTTTTCTTAACTATACTTTCATTTCTCTTGGATTTGCTTGAGTCCCTAAACAGGCATGTCTCTTATTCACATTTTCTCTCTGTTTACTCCTTCCTCTTTCCTAAATGTCTTTGTTTCTTTTCCATTCACTTTTATCTTTTCTCTCTTTCTGACCCTAGTGTGTCAGGCTATTGTTATTTGGGAAAATGAAGTGACAGAAAGGCAGTCCTCTCACTTCGAGGCTATAAACTCTTCAGCAAACTCTGATACATAAACTTTTTTCATTTAGTTTCTTTTCTCAAAGTTTAGTCAGAGTATAAGGGTTCTTGTGCTGTAGTCTACTCATTGATATGTAGGAATCTTCTTTCCACACCCAGGTACATGGGGAAATGTGTGTATAATGCATATGTACAATGTTCTGACAAGAGGTTCCCAATTTTCATCAGACTTTAAGAAGAGTCTGCGACTCTAATAAAGATTAAGAATGGATGTGGGCTGGGCACAGTGGCTCACACCTGTAATCCTAGCGCTCTAGGAGGCCAAGGTGGGAGGATCGCTCAAGGTCAGGAGTTTGAGACTAGCCTGAGCAAGAGCAAGACCTCTTCTCTACTAAAAATAGAAATAAATTCGCTGGCCAACTAAAAATATATAGAAAAACTTGGCTGGGCATGGTGCCACATGCCTGTAATCCCACCTCCTCAGGATGCTGAGGCAGAAGGATCGCTTGAACCCAGGAGTTTGAGGTTACTGTGAGTTAGGCTGATGCCATGGCACTCAAGCTTGGGCAACAGAGTGAGACTTTGTCTCCAAAACAAAAAAAAGAATGGATGTGATCCAGTGCTGTGATTCTTTCTTTTCTTTTTTTCGAGACAGAGTCTCACTCTGTTGCCCGGGCTAGAGTGCCATGGCATCAGCCTAACTCACAGCAACCTCAAACTCCTGGGCTCAAGTGATCCTTCTGCTTCAGCCTCCCTAGTAGCTGGGACTACAGGCATGCACCACCATACCTGGCTAATTTTTACTATATTTATAGTTGGCCAATTACTTTCTAATATTTTTAGTAGAGACGGGGTCTCACTCTTGCTCAGACTGGTTTCCATCACCTGACCTTGAGCAATCCTCCAGCCTCGGCCTCCCAGAGTGCTAGGATTATAGGCTTGAGCCACCACGCCTGGCCCAGTGCTATGATTCTGGATAGGATCTGGGCTTCCTGATTTCTAGGCTGTCACTGTATGCTAATCCTCTTCCTCTTTGTCTCCTTTTTTTTTTTTTTTTTTTTGAGACAGAGTCTCGCTTTGTTATCCAGGCTAGAGTGAGTGCCGTGGCGTCAGCCTGGCTCACAGCAACCTCAAACTCCTGGGCTCAAGCAATCCTCCTGCCTCAGCCTCCCACGTAGCTGGGACTACAGGCATGTGCCACCATGCCCGGCTAATTTTTTTTTTTTATATATATATCAGTTGGCCAATTAATTTGTTTCTATTTATAGTAGAGACGGGGTCTCGCTCTTGCTCAGGCTGGTTTTGAACTCCTGACCTTGAGCAATCCGCCCGCCTTGGCCTCCCAAGAGCTAGGATTACAGGCGTGAGCCACAGCGCCCGGCCTTGTCTCTTCTTAATTCTAATAAGTTTCTTGTACCCCAGACATGCTAATGAAAAGAAGATCTATTAAGCATGGATCATTTGGGGAAAAGTTTAGAAAAAATTTCTCATTTTTTCACTTAAAGGATGGAATTTTAACAGTTGTTGAGGGAAGTCTACAGATTGGTGGATAGGTTTAGGTCAATATTACTGGACAGATTGATTCCTTTTTAAAAATCATTCTGCATTGCCTTTGTCACCAGTAGGCAATTAAAGGTGTATATATTAAATTTCAGTTAATCCTCTTTTTTGTCCCCTTCAGATATTCGTGACACTGTGAAGTATAAAGAAGTCATGAAGCAGTATCCTTTTCCACATCTACTCTGATGTTGACTCATTCCTACCTAGTTGTCTGTTTATTTTATAGCTTTGAAAGAGTGTTTTTGCCCTTCCTTATGAAATATACAAACAAAAACATTGTTTGCTTTAAAGTAATTTTATTAGAAGGATGGAAGACTAATGTGGGAGAGGTATTATAGATGATCAGAAATACTGTTTGAGCTTATGATTTTAGTTTTATTACCATTTCCCCAGACTGCAGACTTGTAATTAGAAAGCAGAGAGAATGAGAGGATAACTGACACCTGCCTGGGTCCCACAAGGTAGTATTGCCTTGGAGGATCATCCGTTGGTCACTACTTCTTTAGACAGGGAAACTCAGAAATACATATGTTTAGCTGGATTAATTAATTCTTAATACATTGCTGTGTGAAATGTGTACTTTCCCTGTGGGTAGATCTAGGTAGGACTAATTATAATCAGCAGGTTGCTTGATTGATTAGTGAGGATCAGAGCAAGGAGTGTTATATAGGTAATCTTTTTAATTTTATTTTCCCACTAAGTCTTTCATAGGCAATATAGGCAATATAGGTAATCTTTTTTTTTTTTTTTGAGACAGTGTCTCACTCTGTTGCCCCAGCTAGAGTGCCGTGGTGTCAGCCTAGCTCACAGCAACCTCAAACACCTGGGCTCAAGCGATCCTTCTGCCTAAGCCTGCCCAGTAGCTGGAACTACAGGCATGTGCTGCCATGGCCGGTTAATTTTTTCTATTTTTAGTAGAGACAGGATCTCTTGCTCAGGCTGGTCTTGAACTCCTGAGCTCAAACGATCCTCCCAATCCCCCCCTCCCCAGCCTCCCAGAGTGCTAGTATTACAGGCATGAACCACCGCACCCGGCCAATATAGGTAATCTTAATGGCTAAAGCCACCAGGCTTTCACTATCTGATATATCTATTACATTTTGTTCACTTTGCCTTTTTACTTATTTTTAATTTTTGAAATTTTTTTATTTTTTAAGAGACAGTGTCTCACTGCTGAGTGCAGTGGTGCAGTCATAGCTCACTGCAACCTCATACTCCCAGGCTCAAGTAGTCCTCCTGTCTCAGTCTCCCTCGTGGCTAGGTCTATGGTACGTGTCACCATGTCTGGCTAATTTTTTTTTTCATAGAGACAAGGTCTCACTGTGTTGATCAGGCTGGTCTTGAACTCTTGGCCTCAAGTGATCCTCCCTCCTTGGCCTCCCATAGTGCTAGGATTATAGGCTTGAGCCACTGTATCCTACCCACTTTGCTTTCTTTATTTTGCCTGGCTATTCCCAAAATGATAAATGAGTCAACAAGACCTTGATAGTGAATGTTTCCCCGTGTTGGTTAAAGTTGCATGGTAGTGCAACTTTAGGCCACTTAGGTGGCCAATATCCATTAATGGAACTCCAATGTCATAATGCAATTTGTGTGAGTGATAACCTAAGTATGAACTTTATAATCTAATCTATGAACAATTTAAGTCCTCAACTTAGTTTCTAGATATGGACTTGGGCCCAATGGTGGCATAGTGACCTCACTCAATCTTTTTGCTACCAGGTTTGATCAGGTATGTTTGTCTTTACATATGTCAACACAAAAATCTGTGACTCTTAAATGTCTTAGTTTGATTACATTGGTAAGAAGAGTAGCAAACCTGAACATAAATATAGAAAATAAGTAGGCATTTTGGTAAACAGAGAAGTAGATTAGGAGAAGATGATTAGTGTTTTGAGACACTATACATTTAATATTTGCAACAGCCAATAAAACAAAAATCTAAGAGACCTGGCTTCTTTCCTGGATCTATTGCTTGCTTATGGTGCTACCCTGAGGATGGGCTAGGGTGACAGGGGAGTGGGTTGGACTAGCAGGCATGGGATAGAAAGATAGTAGGGCATTTTACTTGTGACAAATATTTGTCGCCATTAAGATTTTCTCTGTCACCTACTTCCATAAGAGTGTTTTATAATCATTGGTTTTTTACTCTGATGTCATTCCGGGAGACAGACCATTAACATTTTTCCAAAGCACCAAGAGATATGACTTGATGGTGGTGAGCTGGGTTTTCAGCTTCTCAGATCCTTGCGCTGTGCCCCAGGATGTGGTTGCAATGCTGTGATGTGGCAGTGCTTCTTCAGTTCAGTGAGTTTATTCATTGGTGTCCTAACACTGAGAACACAGAGGTTCAGCAGTTGATGGTACCTATGAGTCACGCTACTCTGGAGAGAGCCCTGTGATTTTGTGTTGAAATAATATCTTGTTATAATTGGCTTTCTTTTCTTTTAGGTGATGAAATTTATCGAGAAGGCCCAAAGCATGTCTAAGTAAGTGATTTCATTTTAACATTTATTACTCTGTAGTTGACACATTCTAGGCTTTTGGGATGGTCTGGGATACTATCAACTTCTGAAACGGTATAGATTAAGATGAAACCATTAGAAGTAAAAGAAAGTGGGCAAGAAAATTCTTAGATGTTGTGGAGTACAGAGGTAAATTTAATATTATCTCATCCCTCCAGTTACTTTGGCCCCCAATTTACCTGGCTTCTTAGGAATTATTTTGAGACTTTATCCAAATTCAGTTGTCTGTCTGTCTTCTCTTGGGAAATCATGCTTGTCTGGCATTAAAGCCTCTGAAGTACCTTTCTAACTCTTGTTTAAATGAAAAGAAAAGTTTTCAATTTTAAAACTATCAAAATATAATATTTTAAAGATTATGTTTATTACCTATAATTAACTGTTGTTAAATTTTTAATAGTTTTTCTTTTTTAAAAAAGGAAGATAATTTATTATTTTATAACAAAAGGACATATGCTCATTATAAAGAATTCAAACAGGCTGGGTGTAGTGGCCCACACCTGTAATCCAAACACTCCGGGAGGCTGAGGCAGAAGGATTGCCACTTGAGCTCAGGAGTTTAAGACCAGCCCGAATGAGAGCAAGACCCTATCTCTACCAAAAATAGAAAAAACTAGTGTGGGGGTGGGTGGGTTGTATGCCTGTAGTCTCAGCTACTTGGGAGGCTGAGGCAGGAGGATCACTTGAGCCTAGGAGTTTGAGGTTGCAGTGAGTTATGATGACACCACTGTACTCTAGTCGGAGCAACAGTGTGAGAATCTGTCTCAAAAAAAAAAAAAAATTCAAACAGTGCATAATATTTAAAAGATGAAGCTATCACCCTGATTCCCACTAGCAATAACTATCATTATTCAGTGACTAGCATTCCACCTGTTTCTATGCATAGAAGGATGGTTGGATAAAGGTTTTTTATAAAAATGGGATTATACTAGAGGTAATTTTTAGAATAGCTTTATTGAGATATAACTCACATACCATAAAGTTCATTCTTTTAAAATATATAATTGTTTTAATATGTTTACAAAGTCGTGCATTGGTAACCACTCTGTAATTTCAGAACATTTTCATCATTGCAAAAAGAAACCCTATACTCACTCTTAGTCACTCCTTATTTTCCCTTCCTTTCAGCCCCTAGTGGCTACTCCATTTTTTACATTCCCACCAGCAGTGATCTCTCCACAACTTTACCAGCACTTGTTATTGTCCTTGTTTTTGATTATAATCATTCTAGTTATAGAACATGTGAAATGGTATCTCATTGTAGTTTTCATTTGTATTTCCTTAATGACTAATGATGTCAAGCATTTTTTCATGTACTTGTTGGCCATTGGTATATATTTGGAGAAATGTCTATGAAAATTCTTTGCCAATTTTTTTCTCTCATTTTTTCTTCCTGCTTTTTTCACATCTTTGCCCCCTCCTCCTTCATCACTGAAAGAAGAAAACCCATATTCTTGGTTTTTTTTTTTTTTTTTTTTTTTTTTTGAGACAGGATCTTGCTTTGTCACCTGGGCGAAAGTACAGTAGTGTCATTGTAGCTCACTGCAACCTCAAACTCCTGGGCTCAAGCAACCCTCCTGCCTCAGCCTCCCAAGTAGCTGGGACTACAGGTGTGTGCCATGATGCCCAGCTAATTTTTCTATTTTTTTTGTAGAGATGGGGTCTTGCTGTGTTACCCAGGCTGGTCTGGATCTCCTGGGTTCCACTGATCCTCCTACCTTGTCCTCCCAAAGTGCTAGAATTAGAGACTACTGTGCCCTGCCCATATTTCTCATTTTTAATGCAGTATGTTCCTATAACTATCATAGTTTCCCCTGTGATCACTTGCAGCATTTCATGATTGCTTGCTTCTCCCCATTAGGATGAATATTGGACATTGAATAGTCTGGGGGAGTATGGTATGCAGTTTAAGGGTAATGGGAGGAAGGTAGATTTAACAATGTGCAGAGATTATTCTAAGCTTGGATAGTCAGATGTTTAGTGTTTTATATGGTGGAATGTCTTTCAGTATTGTATAACACTTTTTTTTTTGAGACAGAGTCTCACTCTGTTGTCCGGGCTAGAATGCTGTGGCACCAGCCTAGCTCACAGCAACCTCAGATTCCTGGGCTCAAGCAATCCTTCTGCCTCAGCCTCCTGAGTAGCTGGCACTACAGGCATGTGCCACCATGCCTGGCTAATTTTTTACATATATATTTTCAGTTGTCCAGCAAATTTCTTTCTATTTTTTTTTTTTTTTTTTTTTAGTAGAGATGGGGTCTTGCTCTTGCTCAGGCTGGTCTCAATCTCCTGAGCTCAAATGATTTGCCTGCCTCTGCCTCCCAGAGTGCTAGGATTATAGGCGTGAGCCACCACGCCCGGCCTATAACACTTTTTAAATGATCTTTCTTGACACAGATATGTCCTGATTGACACACCTGGACAGATTGAGGTATTCACCTGGTCAGCTTCTGGAACAATCATCACTGAGGCCCTGGTGAGTATTCTAGGACTCGTAATTAAAGAGTAGCTAGAGGGCTGGACTGGATCAGCATCTTTTTTATTGTCTCAGACTTTATATGGGAGGGAGTTGTAGAAGCTCTGTTCATCCTGTGTAAAGTGGTTTTCCCTTGCTAAGGGTGGTGGGAAAAGAGATTTGGGACAGGTCATGAGCCATATGACCAACGCTTTATTTTGTGGCTTTAGGCATCCTCATTTCCAACAGTTGTCATCTATGTAATGGACACATCTCGAAGTACCAACCCAGTGACCTTTATGTCCAACATGCTGTATGCCTGCAGGTAACTGGTTATTGGTGGGCACGGTGTTCCGTCAAGGTATAAGGCCTCCTTCTCTTTTCTACCTTGGCTTTTGAGCCCTGGTTGCTTATCCCTAGATTTGTGCTTATTCAGATTTGCTACTCAGGTGAGTGGCTGTGAGTTGAGGGAAGTTTAGAGGAGAAAAGAGGCACAAGTGCTGTTGTCATTCTCTCTCAGCATCATCTGATCTTCCTCCCCTGCTTGTGGCAGATATGAGTGGTATGTGAATATGAATTTTTTGGCAGTTGCTCCCAGTTGAATGAAACCCACATCTAAATAGAATAGAGCCCTCTGCTCTAAACTCTACTTTTTTGTGTTATGATGGATAGAGTGAAATTGTTACATGAAGAGATGCTATGAATAAAACATTTATTTGTGATTGTAAAATGCACAGGTTTGCCCCAAATGTGCTGCCATTAGGAGAGGTATGGTATGTCTCAATGAACTGTGTTAGTGCATTAAGACTGAGGAGGCCGGGCGCGGTGGCTCACACCTGTAATCCTAGCACTCTGGGAGGCTGAGGAGGGCGGATAGCTCAAGGTCAGGAGTTCGAAACCAGGCTGAGCAAGAGCGAGACCCTGTCTCTACTATAAATAGAAAGAAATTAATTGGCCAACTAATATATCTAGAAAAAATTAGCTGGGCATGGTGGCACATGCCTGTAGTCCCAGCTACTCTGGAGACTGAGGCAGCAGGATCGCTTGAGCCCAGGAGTTTGAGGTTGCTGTAAGGTAGGCTGACGCCTTGGCACTCACTCTAGCCTGGGCAACAAAGCGAGACTCTGTCTCAAAAAAAAAAAAAAGACTGAGGAGCAAGGTAGAATATTATTAAAGCTGAGAGAATTTAATTTTGGGGGTACATAAAAACCATCACCAACATTTGTATTTTCTAATATAATGAAGAATGTCCCTTCCTGTTGGATACAAGAAATCTTGAGCCAAATAGAAATCTGATGATTGACAACATTATTTCATTTTCATGTTAATTGTTTAAAAGACAATTATTGGCCTTATTCTAGTAATCATTTTACAATGTATACATACAGTTGACCCTTGAACAATGTGGGGGTTGGGGTGCCAACCCTGCAATCAAAAACCTGCAATATCACTTTTGACTCCCCAAAGACTTAACTACTACTGGCCTACTGTTGACAGAAAGTTTAATGATAACATAAATAGTTGATTAACACACATTTTGTATGTAATATGTATCATATACTTTATTCTTAGAATAAAGTAAGCTGAAGAAAAGAATATGTTATTAGGAAAATCATAAAGAAGAGAAAATACATTTACTATTCATGAATTGGAAGTAGATCACTGTAAAGGTCCTCATTATCTTCACATTGAGTAGGCTGAGGAAGAGGAATGGTTGGTCTTGCTGTCTCAGGGTGGCAGAGGTGAAAGAAAATCTGTGTAGGTGGACCATGCAGTTCAAATATCAACTGTATATCAAAACACCATTTTGTACACCTTAAATATATGCAGAATTTATTTGTTAATTAACATTACTATAAAGCTGGGGGAAATGATTTAAAAGTTTTAATCTATAAAATAACATATAAAAAATTTCCCCCCAATTTTATGGAGGCATAATTGACAAATGAAAATCGTATGCATTTACATGGCATTTGTAAGGAACAAAGGAGATAATACATATAAAAGTGCTCAGCACGATGCCTAGACTATAAAGTTGAGCATTCCAAATCCAGAAATCTGAAATCTGAAATGGTCCAAACCCTGAAACTATTGAACACTGACATGATGCCCAAAGGAAATCCTCATTAGATCATTTTGGAGTTTTGGATTTAGAATGCTCAACCGGTATTTGCAAATGTTCCAAACTCTGAAAAAAAATCTGAAATCTGAAACACTTCTGGTCCCAAGTGTTTCAGATGGGGGATACTCCACTTGTAATAGATATTCAATAAATGTTTATTTCCTCCTCAGAAAAAGACAATTATTTAGTAAAAACAAAACAAAAACCAGTATCAATATCAAAGTATTATTACTCTAAGTTAGGGTGAGTGTGTGTGTTATTTGCCTGGTGGTGGTGATTTTCTTCTTGGGAGAAGGGAATATGTGAATGCCATGTGAAAAAGGGTACCTGTCTTGTAGATTCTGAACTCCTTCTCTTAGTCCCAACAGACTAACACTGGGCAAGCAAGAGCTTACGTGGCTTTACTAATAATATCTCAATGTTTGATTTTCAGCATCTTGTACAAAACCAAGCTGCCTTTCATTGTGGTCATGAATAAAGTAAGTGGATCATTTCTGTTCAGCTTCTTTTTAGCAGAACCTTGTGGTTCTTGGAAGGTTTGGGTGAGTGAAAAGGATTATTTCAGATGCTAGAGAGCAAATTCAGGCTTTCCTCAAACAGGGCCATAGGCATTTCTAGGAAATGAATTCAATCAAATTGAACGAATATTTATGACTGACTCTCATCCAAAATCATTTTAGGCCAGATAAAATAGCTCCTCAACCATAGTGTATAGGTTATTCCCTAGAATCAGGACTGTATAAATAGAAGAGGGACATTTAATCTATTGGAAGTGACAATTAAAAAAGAACAAAGCTTCCTTGCTGTTGGTTGATGTCTAGGATGCAAGAGACTGCTTGACTTCAGAGCCTAGGATATGCTGGCATCCACCGTGGTCCTGGTTATTGGTAGTGGATAGTGATGAGTCTGCTTTGACCAAGAGAATGCATCTTCTTCATTTAATTGCATACACTGCACAGAAGTCTTGCTTCTTTGTGGTTTGTTGCAATGAAGGAGGAAATGGGGGAAGCAGAGAAAGAAAATGTATGGATGATATGCTCATTGCCATCAACATTTAATTAAAAAATAAATTTTGCCATTGTTTAGTGTGTAACCTCATCTCTGGTTGCTGATAGTTGACTTCTCTCTGGTATAGACCGACATCATTGATCACAGCTTTGCAGTGGAATGGATGCAGGATTTTGAGGCTTTCCAAGATGCCTTGAATCAAGAGACTACATACGTCAGTAACCTGACCCGTTCAATGAGCCTGGTGTTAGATGAGTTTTACAGCTCACTCAGGGTAAATTTTCTCTCCTGTTCATACTGACAGCCTCTCCAGATAACCTCTTAACCCATAAGACTGGTTTTGAACCTAGCTTAGAAAGTAAGTTCATTACCTTCTGAAAAGTATATTTAAAACATTGCTTATTAAAAACTGTCGTGGCTGGGCACAGTGGCTCACGCCTGTAAGTCAAAGTGGTAGGATCACTTGAGCCCAGAAGTTTGAGACCAGCCTGGGAAACATAGCAAGATCCTTGTCTCAACAAAAAATTTTTAAAAAATTAGCTGGGCATGTGCCTCTGTCCTGGCTATTGGGGGGAGCCTGAGGTAGGAGGAGCCCGGGAGTTCTAGGCTGCAGTGAGCTATGATTCCTCTGCTGCACTCCAGCCTGGGTGACACAGTGAGACCCTGTCTCTGAATAAAAATAAAAAATAAGAAAAAACAAAAAAACCTGTGAAATTTACAAGATGAATAAGATAGGGACCTTCAGAGAGTTTATGGTCTAGTTAGAAGAGAAGGCTATATACACAGAGTAGAAACATGCTATCTTATTGGCAAGTACCTTAAGAAAAACTGAAAGTTGGGCCTGATGGCTGTAAGGAGGACAGATTATAATAAGAGATTTTGGCCTGCATAGTGTTAGAGGTATGCTTTGAAGGAAGGGTAAGATTTATGTAAGTAAAAGCTTACAGGTTGCAGGGATTATGTTAATTGTCCAAGCAAATGCAACAAGAGAACAGAAAGTGGTTAGTTTGGTTTGTTAGGGAATAGATAATAAGTTTGGCCCTAATTATACCTTTAAATTCTTTATTTTCCATAGGCTTATTCCATGACTTTTGACTAGATGTTCTATTTTGTTCTGTTGTAGGTTAGCTTTTTGCCAGAGACTTCTTAAAGTTTCCAAACCTCTTTTTATGAATATTTTATGGCATTTGAACAAAATAATGTACACCATTAAAAAATATGCTGTAGTTTCCTTAGAGGCATTTATGATGCTTTTTGGCAGGTAGTAGGTGTATCTGCTGTTCTGGGTACCGGCTTAGATGAATTCTTTGTGCAAGTCACCAGTGCTGCAGAAGAATATGAAAGGTGAGGATAAAGAAAGTTTCTATTGATGACCTTATTAGCAACCCACAATTCTGATGAGATAGCACTTTTTCCAGGCAAAACATTTAGATTTTCATCATATATGTATTATATTTGCCTTGCACACATGTACTAGATCTGATCACATTTAGGGGTAACAAGTCTCCATTAACTTTTTAAAAAAATAAAGGTATAAATCTTCACTGTATTGAGTGATTAAGAGCAGAGGTCTCCAGACTTTTTCTGTAAAGAGCCAGGTAGTAAAAATTTTAGGCCTTGTGGGCCAAGACAATCTTCTGTTGGAACTATTTACCTCTGCCCTTTTAGGACAAAGCATCCATAGACCATTTGTAAATGCCTGGGCACAGCTGTGTTCCAGTAAAACATTGGTGTTAAGTTACTGTGAGGATTATTTGAGAAAATATGTGTAAAGCACTTAGCACAATTGCTGACACATACTAATAGTAAGCACATTTTATAATAAATGATGTTACAAGTATTGTCATTGTTCATACTGGAATTCCATTTGCCTAAAGAAAAGTGGAGTCAGAGCACCTGTACACTTTCCTTAGGCCCATGGCTTCATAGGCTGCTAATTAACATGCTTCTTTGGCCTCATATTTTGCAAGATCCTAACAACCACATTTGGGTTTACACACACATTATTTTGATTTTAACTCATCAGACAAGGGTGTTACCAAAGCCTCAGGATAGACCAGGTACAGTGGCTCACACCTGTAATCCTAGCATTCTGGGAGGCCAAGGTGGGAGGATCACTTGAGCTCAGGAGTTTGAGACCAGCCTGAGCAAGAGTGAGAACCCATCTCTATACAAAATAGAAAAATTAGCCAGGTATGGTGGTGTGTGCCTGTAGTCTCAGCTAGTCAGTAGGCTGAGGCAGGAGGATGGCTTGAATCCAAGAGTTGGAGGTTGCAGTGAGCTATGATGATGCCACTGCATGCTAGATAGGGTAACAGAGCAAGACCCTGTCTCAAAAAATTTTTTTAAAAAGCCTCAGGATAGACTCTTCTCTATATCCTTTCACTGTTGTTGCTGAGGTAAAGCACATCAATATATATGGAACTTCCTGAGCTCCACAGGCTTATCTGCTTTTCCGTATCGCAGCTGTTTATCTCAAGTGAATGATGAGTTTATTAGTCTCAGTCTCTCCAGTCAGATTTTTGTCTCTTTCCTGGTTTGGGGAGTGGGGCAGTCACCTTGGCTTTTAATTCCATGGGGATAGACTCTCAGTCACTGTCCAAGACTTGTTACATCTGATGTTCAATAAAGTAAGATCTTTTATTATATTACTGTCAGAGTTTTATGACAATATAAGTGATAGGGGTGGGGAGTGGGCAAAGGATTATTAAGCAGAGGACTTTAGAAAGTGTTTCTCTTTTCAGGGAATATCGTCCTGAATATGAACGTCTGAAGAAATCGTTGGTAAGAAAGGAGGCTGTTTGTGTATTATAGGGCTTTTGAAAAAAGCCACCTTGCCGGTGCACCTGGAGTCCCAGCTACTTGGGCTGCTGAGGCAGGAAGATGGCTTGAGCCCAGTAGTTTGAGGCTACAGTGAGCTGTGATGGTGCCACTACACTCTGGCCTGAGCGACTGCATAAGACCCTGTCTCTATTTAAAACAAAAACCAACTTCATTCCTAATGACATATGTATTTTTGTTTTGGTTATCAGTGTATCTTATTTAATTAAAAAAAAAGTTTCCAGCTTTATTGTAGTATAATTAACTAATAAAATTTCAGTGTATACTTTAAATTCTTCTTAATTTAACTTTGTAAATTTATATATATGTTGTCTGGATGCAGAAAGTTCCCTTATATATTTTTTTATTTTTGTATTTGAATTTTTAAAAATCAGTTTTCTTGTTATATATGCTGAGTCCTTCTTGTGCCCCTCCTCCACCCCAATTCCAAGGTCAATTTAAAGGCTAGTTGTAGAATTTTGTTTAAGAATAGAGAGATGGTTCACAACTCTTATCCCACATAATCAAATGTCCTGCTCGCATAGGATACACTTGGTTCTTCATTACTGAGCCTTCCTGCAATGTCTACCTGAGGATTGTTTTGATATGTTTGTGTGTCCATTTTCTGAATCTTCTAATTCAGGCTGAGCTTCTGCTATAATCTGGGCCCACACTACTCGAGAGTTTCTGTCCCTATGTCAGCTATCCCTTATCCACCTCAGTGTTTAAGTAGCGAGTATTTGTGTAATTCCTCATCTCCCTTGAGAAGTATGGCTTCTAATTTGGGCTCCATTTTGAATATGATGACATTTTGCTCTCTATATACAGGCTAGTGCACAGAGCCAACATCAGAAAGAACAACTGGAACGACTTCGGAAGGATATGGGCTCTGTAGCTTTGGACACAGGCACTGCCAAAGGTATTGGAGGGTCTCTGGTGTCAGGAACTAAAAAGAGGTTACACTTATTTCTACTCAGCAGGGATGTTTTTATATATGAGAGAGAGAGAGAAAAGGAAAAATAAAATGTGGTTTCATATATGTATAATATTTTTATATATATACACACACATATAAAAATAATTTGGAAAGACAAACAATTGAAAATTGTATACAACTGTACCACTTTGGGATCTTCCTTCAGGAAGTTTTTGCTTTACTTTGGCAAAATACTTGATGTCTACTTTGTTATTATTTCTTTTAATACTTTTAAACTATTCCCCTCCCCATTTTTTACAGTTTGACCTAATTTCAGATTTACAGAAAAGTTGCATGAAGGATACAAAGAATTGCCATAACTCTTCAATCAGATTCCTAAAATGTTAACATTTTACACATTTATTTTCTTCTCTCTATATGAATTTATATATTACATAAATATATTTCTTTTCCCTGAATCATTTAAGAGTAAGTTACAGATATGACACTCCTTTGCATTGAATACTTGAATGTCTATTTCCTAAGACTAACGATATTATTTTATATAACCTCAGTACAGTTATCAAAAATAAGAAAATTAACATTGACACAATACTGTTACCTAATGTAGAGACCTTATTTAGATGGAGCCATTTGCCCTTTGTAGCAGTAGAAAATCCTGGATGTGCATTGCATTAATTCTGATGTGTCTTAGTCTTCAGGCTAGAATGGTTCCTTAGTCTTTGTGTTTCATGACATTGACCTTTTTTGTAAGCAAATAAGGAAAGTTATTTTATAGAACATTCTTCAGTTTAGGTTCGTCTGAGTTTCTTCATGATTTTGATTCAGGTGACTGATTTTTGGCAGAACTTTACAGAAGCTGTGTTTTTTTAGTGCATCACATCAGGAGGCACATGTTGATTTGTCCCATTACTGGTGATGTTAACTTTGTTTGTGTGAAGTGGTATCTGTCAGGTTTTCGCATCATAAAGAATTAATGTTTTTCTTTCTTTTGTTTTTTATAGTGCTAGCCTTCAGTAAATCTGATGGAATTAATATTTTTAAAAATTATTTTTTTTCTTTCATAATAAGGATTTGATGGAATTGGTACTTTGAGAATATTAACTATCCTTTTAGTTTTCAAATGTTTACCCACTAGTTTTAATATGCATTGATATAGTGGGGATATTATCCATTTTTCTGGGATATATGTTGCCAATATTTTCTCCCTGTTTGTCATTTGTTCTTTAACTTTTGTTCATTGTGCTATTTTGACATGCAAAAGTTTTTATTTTATTTTGATGTAGTCATTTATTTATCTTCTTTTCTATTGCATCTGAATTTTAAGTCATTGTTAGCCTTTACCTATATTTATGTTAAAAAGGAATTCACCAATGTTTTATTGTAGTGTTTATATGGTTTTATTTTCCAAATTTTGATCACTGATACATTTGGAGTTTATTCCTGGGTATGGTATGAGTTATGGGCCTTTGTTATCTTTTTCATAAATAGTTGTATCTGCACTATTTATTAAAAGGCAACCTTCACCTCAAAGAATATTTTGTAGGGTCTTGTGTTTTTTTTTTTTGTTTTTTTTTGAGATGGAGTCTTGCTATCTTGCCCAGGCTGGCCTTGAACTCCTGGGCTCAAGTGATCCTTCTGCCTCAGCCTCTTGAGTAGCTGGGATTTTAGGCACATGATACTGTGCTTGGCTTGCCTTGGTGATTTGAGATGCTACCAGTATAATATACTAACATTCCATGTGTGCTTGGCTTTCTGTTTTATTTCACTGTACTATACACTTTTATGCCTGTATCATGTTTTAATTGTATAATTACGTTTCAATATCTGCTAGGGGTAGTGCCACTCATATTTTTCATTTTAGTGTTTCCTTGGCTCTTCTTACATGTTTTTCCACATGAACTTTAGTATCAACTTATCTAGCTTATTAAAAAAGCATTTTAGGCCAGGCGTAGTGGCTCATGCCTGTAATCCTAGCACTCTGGGAGGCCGAGGTGGGTGGATCGTTTGAGCTCTGGAGTTCGAGACCAGCCTAAGCAAGAGCAAGACCCTGTCTCTACCAAAAATAGAAGTTAATTGGACAGTTAAAAATATACAGAAAAAATTAGCCGGGCATGGTGGCACATGCCTGTAGTCCCAGCTACTTGGGTGGCTGAGGCAGAAGGATTGCTTAAGCCCAGGAGTTTGAGGTTGCTGTGAGCTAGGCTGATGCCATGGCACTCTAGCCCGGGCAACAAAGTGAGACTCTGTCTCAAAAAATATAAAAAAAAGCATTTTAGTTGGGATTACATTATATTCATAACTAATTTAGGAAGAACTGATAATTTCTCCGATGTTGAGTCTTCCTATCCAAGACCAAGGAATATCTTTATATTTGTCAGGTCTACTTGTGACTTTCAGAAGTGTTTAGAGTGTTCCTTATGTAGGTTTTGTGTATTCTTTGTTAAATTTATTCTAAATATTTTACCTTTATTACTGTTGAAAGTGGGATTTTCTGAACCATTATATTAATATTTTCTAGCTGGTTTATATTTGTGTGTATGAAGCCTTTTGATTTCTGTATATTAGTCTTTTCATCGTGCTACCGAATGCTTTTTTATTCTTTGAAGTTTTTAAAAAAAATTCATTTATTTATTTTTAGTAGAGATGGGGTCTTGCTATATTGCCCAGGTTGGTTTCAAGCTCCTGGGCTCAAGTGATCCTCCTGAAGTGCTGGGATTACAGGCATGGGCCACCACACGTGATGAGTTAGTTTTATCATTGACTATCCAGGGATGTTTAGGTTAGTGCCCGTATTTAAATAATCATAATAATCATAATAATATGCCCCTGACCACCTATGCATACATATTGATGGATTGCCTTCAAGACGAGTTGGTGCAAATCTTTTGCAGCTCAGTGGGATCCTGCAACCAAGTTGGAGGTACTTTTTTTTTTTTAATGATATAGTCCATTTCATTTATTTATTTGGTAATAAATTGGACATATTTTTATTATCAGCAACATGAGCATTTTTTTTCTACGACATCTTAAAGGACTGACATTTCTATTCATGAAAGCTACTGCTGTGTCTAGTAGAGGACAGCAAACTCGGAAACTGCCTGGGCTTACCAGTTAAGTGAACTTAACTTGTGCCATCTTTGTTGCACACCTCAGCAACATAAATTTCTATGTGTCATGGTCCTTTATAGTCATGAACACATGAAACAGCAAATGTTAAATCTACTGTACTCAGACAACCTGTTGAAGGCTGTGGGAGTTTCAGTAACCATTTGAGGAAAATTACAAGTATAGTTGCATAATTCTTAGTAGGGCTCAGAATGAAGCATTTACTGGCAGCACATCCTGTCATTATCCTTTTTCAGGGCCACAGGCCCCTTGAGATTTGTGTGCCTTGATGTTGCTGCCTTTAGCCACTCTTATTCCCTAACTGAGCTCTTACAACCCTTATAGGCTCCTGAAGAGAGAGTGGCCATGTCCTCCCATGGCCTTAGGGTCCTTGGCATAGTTTCAGGTTCTCATAGATACTACCCCCACCCCCCACCAGGCTGAATCCCCTGCCAGTAATTACTGGATTAGACTTTCTTCTTATTATTGGAACTCAACCCTTATTTCCCTAAGTGAGGAATTTTACTTCTATTAGTATATTTGATTTTCCATTTTTCTCCCTCCTTTTCTTGAATAATACTCTGACTCCTCTACATCATTTCACCTTGTATTTTCTGCAGACCCTCTCTGAACTTATATTGCTACCATGAAGCTTCCTTAGCACTCCACACTTTGACTCACCAGCACACTAGATCTGCTCAAATGTCTTTAGCTTTCTTAGGAAAAACTATAAGCTCTTCCTAGCTATGAGATAATTAAAAAGAACAATGCTAATCAAAAAGACAAGCTTCAGCTTAAAAAAAAAGGGACTTCTTGGGCTGTTTGGCTCATGAAAACACTTTGTGAACTAAACTACTATAGACATGGTAAGTGGTATTAGCAATACATTTAGAAGAGATAACATTGTGCATTTATATTTATCATGAACACTTTGATCCTGCCAATTGATAATCATCGTTACTTATTGATTCAAATCACTTTTTTGAGGAGGTATATATACTGATAGGTGTTTTCATTGTAGACAGCTTATCTCCTGTACTGGACCCTTCTGATTTGATCCTGACTCGAGGAACCTTGGATGAAGAGGATGAGGAAGCAGACAGTGATACTGATGATATTGACCACAAAGGTGAGAGGTAGCTGAGGTGGCTGATGAGAACAGAACAGTTGCTGTCCTCACATTGTTGGTTAAGGAGTTTCTTACTGTTGGACATGCAGCCAGTAAAAGGGGAGAGGTGGGATGGGGAAGGATACAGCTCCAGAAAAGCATTTCCTAAATTGAGAGAGTTCCTGGGTTCCTGGCCCTTCCCACTGGTTGGCTAGTATTAAGCTGATTACAGGCCTTCCGTTGGTCTTGTGTCTTCTCATCCTTATGTTCAAATTCGGTTTGGGGAATCCAGGATTTTTGTCTCCTGTTATTAATGTTTTAAGAATACATAAGGAAGTTACTTAGCAGAGACCTAAACCAGTTAGAACTGTAACAGTGAGGATAGGATGGCTCTGGAAACCTACATTCTGCTTGGCATAGTTTTATGGACAGTGAACAGAATCTAATTCTTGAAACGACCCCAGGATTTATGTCTTAGGTATGACCAAGAGCAAAACTCTTTTTACTCTCTGGCAGAGTGCGCATGTATAAATTACCTCATTTAATCAGATTTATGGAGATGTAATTTACAAACAGTAAAGCTTACCCTTTTCAGGCATATAGTTTGATGAGTTTTAGCAAATATATACAATCTTGTAACCACTGTTAGAATCAAGATGTACAACACTTCCATCACCCCCAAAAGGTTCCTCATGCCCCTTTTTATTCAGTCCCCTTCCTGAACACCTAGTTCTTGGCAACCACTGACTGATTCTGTTCCTATACTTTTACCTTTTCCAGAATGCCATATAAATGGAATCACAGTATTTAGGATTTTATGTTTGACTTTTTTCACTCGATGTAAGACTTTGTACTCTATCTATGTTGTTGCATTTATCAGTAGTGTGTTCTTTCCTATTGCTGAGTGATATTCCATTATGTGATGTATCACAATTTGTTTATTCCCCAGCTGATTGACATTTAGTTTGATTTTGGCTGTTAAGAGTAAGTAGGTCTTTGTGTGGACATATGTTTTCATTTCTTTTGGTTAAAAATACCTAGGAGTGGAACCTCATTTTAACTGCTTTATGAGGGAGTTATTCTCCCCACTTATAAAGATATCATACATTTTTTTTAATTTCAGCATATTATGGGGGTACAGATTTTAAGATTTCAATAAATGCCCTTTCTCCCCCTCCCCCTACAAGTCTGAGTTTCCAGCATGACCATCCCCAGATGGTGCACACCTCACTCATTATGTATGTATATACCCGCCCCCTCCCCCTTCCCACGTGCCCAATACCCTATTACTGTAGTACCTATGTGTCCACTTAGGTGCTGCTCAGTTAATACCAGTTTGCCGGTGAATATATGTGGTGCTTGTTTATCCATTCTTGGGATACTTCACTTAGTAGTATGGGTTCCAGCTCTAACCAGGAAAATATAAGATGTGCTATATCACCGTTGTTTCTTAGAGCTGAATAGCGTATCCATGGCATCATATACCACACATTCTTATTAATCCAGTTCCTCTTGGATTGCATGGGCACTCTGCTGTTTCCACAGCCCTTGCAATTATGAATGTGCTCGCTGCTATAGAACCATTCAAGTGGCGGTGTCGTTTTTATAGAGTTCATTGGATCTTTTGGGTAGATGCCCAGCATTGGATTGCTGGATCAAATGGTATACATTACACTTGTGATGCGCTTTAAAGGTATCTCCATATTGGCTTTCCACAGAGGTTGAACTAGTTTTGCACTCCCCACCAGTAGCCATGAGGAGTATCCTCTCCTCTGCATCCACCGGCCAAGGATGTTATTTTGGAGATTTTTGATAAGGGCCATTCTCCATGGAGTTAAGTGATGATCTCATTGTGGTTTTGATTTGCATTTCCCTGATGAGTTAGAGATGTTGAGCCATCCAGTGTTTCATATGTTTCGTTGCCCATCTCTCTGTCTCTTTAGAAAAGTTTCTGTTCATCCTTTGCCCCAACTTTTTAATGGAAGGGTTAGCCTCTTGATGTTTTCTTGGCTGGATTTCGTGAGTCTCTGAAGTATACTTCTAGTTACTCAGCCCCTTAATACTCCCAGAGGCGTAGGATGAAAATTTTTGCGCGCAGGCCCCCCAAAAATTTCTCCCACTTCGTAGGTTAGTCCGTTTCTTCATGACTTTTTTCTCTTTGGCTGTGCAGAAGCTTTTTAGTTTGATCCATGTCGCCATCTTATTTATTTTTGTTGCTGGCTGTGATGCCTTTGGGGACTTCTTCATAACATCCTCCTTCCTGCCTAGGCTGATGTCTACGCTAGAGTGTATCCAACATTTTCCTCTAGAATTAATAGTTCATCACGCGTAGGTTTAGTGGTGTTTATCCAGCATGAGTTGATTTTGTGAGAGGTGAAAGGGTCCTGCTTTACTCCTTCTACAAGTGATATCGCAGTTTTCGCCAGCACCCATTTATTGAAAAGGGTTCCTTTCCAGCGTATGTTTGTCCTGCTTTGTCACCATTAGATGGCTATATGCAGGATGTTTATATGGATTCTCCAATCTGTTCCACTGGTCAATATTTCTATTTTGTGGCAATACCCCCATTGATTTAATTACTACAGCTTTGTAGTATAGTTTCATATCTGGCATAATTACATGCCTCCCATTTCTGTTTTGTTGCCTAGAATTGCTTTTGATATTCGGGGTCTTTGCTTTGGTTCCATAGCAAGCGTAATATTATTTTCTAATCGTGAAGCATGCCTGATGGGATTTTAATAGGCTATGTGCAGTGAACTGTAGATCCAGTTTGGTAGTATAGCATTTTAATGATGTTAGTCTGGCGATCCACGAGCATGGTACGGCTTTCCCATGCTGTTTACATCCTCTGCTGTTTGCTCCTCAGTGTTTCATAGTTCCTCCCCCTGTAGAGGTCTTTTACCTCCTTCGGTTAAGTATATTCCTAGGTACTTCATTTTTTTGTGCTATTGTGAAGGGAATTGAGTCCTTTGATTTGGTTCTCAATTTGATTGTCGTTGGCGTATATGAATGCTTCTGATTTCCTGTGTATGATTTCGTATCCTGCAGACTTTTACTGAACATTCATTGATCAGGTCCACGGAGTTTCATTGGTTGAATCTTTGGGTTCTAGAATATAATATCATATCTCACAAACAGTTGATAGTTTGATCTAACTTCTGCCCCTATTCTGGATACCTTCTAATCCACTTTCCTGCGCTGGATTGCGTAGCCAGGACTCCAGCACTATGTTGAATAGAAGGGAGATACGGTGGGGCACCTGTCGGTTCCAGGTTCTAGTGGGACATTTTCAAATTTTTTTCCCATGCTCAGTCACACTCCACTCGTTCTAGGTCTGTTCATAGTACGGCTGTGTATCCCATTTTTAGGTATGTCCGCTTCTATGCCCTATTTTAATTAAGGTTCGCTATCCAGCAAGGGGTGTGATTGTCAAAAGTTTTTTCTGCATCTATTGAAAGTAATCATGTGGTCTGCTGTTTTTGCTTCTCGTTTTAAGTGGTGAATGCATTTATAGATTACGTATGTTGAACCTCCCCTGCATCTGGGCATAAGCCCACTTGGTTATCGATGGATTATCATTTTTGATAGCGTCTGGATTCGGTACCCAAGATTTTGTTAAACTTTTTGCATGTATATTCATTAGGGATATTGTCTGTGTTTTCTTTCTTCTGTTGGCACTCCTTTCCTGGATTTTCGTACAGAGTAATACTCCTTCAATAAAAGGTGTAGGGGAGATTTCATTCTTCTTGATGCTGTGCGAACTATTTCTGCTAGATAGGCGTACTAGTTATCCTTTGTTAAGTGGGTAAAATTCAGGTTGTGACAGACCATCATGGCAAACGGACCTTTCTTTTTAGGGAGACTTTTTTTTTTGAGACCAGAGCGTCCTTGCTTTGTTGCCGCAGCTGTGATGAGTGCCGTGCCGTCAGCCTAGCTCCAACAGCAACCTCAAACTTCCTGGGCTCAAGCGAATCCTCTGTCTCAGCCTCCCAATAGCTGGGATACAGATGCGCCACCATCCGAAAACAGTTGCCAATTAATTTCTTTATATAGTATAGACGGGGTCCGCTCAGGCTGGTTTTGAACTCCTGACCTTGAGCAATCGCCCGCCTCGGCTCCCAAGAGCAGGGATACAAGGCTGAGCCACAGCGCCCGCTAGGGAGGATTGTTATTGCCGTTTCTATTTCCAAGGTCTAGAATTCGTCTTTCAGGAAATCTTTCTTCCCTGGTTGAGCCTAGGGAGGCTGTGTGTTTCAGAAAGTTGTCTTTTCTCCACATTTCCATGTTCTGGTGCTAAAATTTTGTAGTATTCATAAATTAATCTTGTGAATCTCTTTGGACTCAGTTGTGATGTCCCTTTTTTGTTCCTGATGGAGCTTATAGAGATTTTTCGCTTTCGTTGCTGTAAGCAAGCGTGTCAATTTTGTTTTTTCAAAAAACCAAACTTTTTTTATAATTCTCCTGAATACTTCCCTTTATTCAATTCGTTTCAGTCTGCTTGATCCTTCTTGATTTCACTTCTTCTGCTGGGGTTGGGTTGTCTGTTCTTCTTTCCAGCTTTGAAGTCGTTCATTAGATTGTCTTGGATCTTTGACTTCTGGTTTATAGGCAGTTTTATGGAGATAACTTTCCTCTGAAACTGGTTGTAGCTGGTGTCCCAGAGGATTTGATAACTGTTCTCTCCATTTCATTTTGTTCATAGAATTTTTATTTCCATCTGAATTTCTCATTTATGAGTAATCATTAGTAAGGATGTTAATTTTCCACGTTTTTGTGAAAAACTGTGAGTTCTGTTAGGTGATTCTACTTTTATCACTGTGATCCAGAAGGTACGGATCGTAATTCTATTTTTAATTTCTTGAGATTACTTTTGTCCTAAGATATGGTCAATCTTAGAGAATGTCCGTTGAGCTGATGAGAAAAATATATTCAAGGATTTGGGTAGAATGCCCTGTAAATGTCAGTCAGACCCAATTGTTCTAGAGGTTGTTGAATCCATTTCTTTATTAATTTTCTGTTTTAGGGAGATCTGTCTTGTGCCGTCAGTGGTGTGTGAAATCTCCGGTGATTATGATTGCTATAATCCATTTGCTAGATCCAGTAAGGTTTGCTTTATGAAACTGGTGCACCTAAGATTGGGTGCATATATATTTAAAATTGTTATCTCTTCTGTTGAAGTGTGCCCTTCACCATATATTAATGACCCTCTTTTCTTTCACTACTTTTGGTGGTTTAAAACTAAATGTCTGAAATTAGAACTGCCACACCAGCCTTCTTTTGCTTCCGTGCCTGGATACTGATTCCACCCTTTACTTTAGTCTATATGCATCCTTGCAGTTAGATTGTTTCCTGATACTTGGCCTGTATTTTCTTATCCATTCAGCCAGCTTATATCTCTTGAGTGGAGAGTTTAAGCCATTCACATTTATTGAGAGAACTGATAGGTAAGGTAGATTATTGTTCATTCTGTTTGGTTGGATCTTGTTGCTTTGATGTCTCTCTTGAGCCATTGTATTATCTAGCCTTTAATCTTTGGGATTTGGTTGTTTTTATATTCGTGAGCTTTTATTATGGTGTTCCGTGCGTAACACTGTTTTGAGTACTTCTTGTAGGGCTGGTCTTGTCTTGGTGAATTCTCTGAGACTTTGCTTGTCTGAGAATGTCTTTATTTCTCCTTCATATATGAAGCTTAGTTTTGTAGGGAATAAAATTCTAGGCTGGGCAGTGTTTTGTTTCAGAAGAGTGAGAATGGGGCCCCAGTCTCTTCTTGCTTGTAAAGTCTCATTAGAGAAGTCTGGTGTTATTCGAATTGGCTTTCCCTTGTATGTTACTTGCTTCTTTCATCTTACAGCTCTTAGAAGGGCCTCTTTAGTTGATATTTTGGTCAGTCTGATGACTGCATGTCATGATGTCTTCCTGTTTGCATTGAATCTCCCAGGGGTCCTCTGAGCTTCTTGAACTTGTATATCGAGATTTTGAGTAAGGCCTGGGAAATTTTCCTCTATTATATCTTCAAATAGCTTGTCTAACCCTTGAGTGTTGTCTTCTTCCCCTTCTGGTAACCCTATGACCCTCACATTAGGTTTCTTCACATAATCCCACATCTCTTGTAGGCTTTGCTCTTTTCTCTTGTTTCTCTGCTCTATCTCTGTGACTGTTTTATTTAGTTGGAGGGTGTTATCTTCAATCTCTGAGATTCTTTCTTCTGTTTGATCTACCCTGTTCTTGAGGCTTTCTACTGTATTTTGTAGTTCCCTGAATTGATTCTTCATTTCCAGGAGTTCAGTTAAACTTTTCTTCATTGTGTCTATTTCTTTAGTGAACTTTTTGTGGTTTCTTTGTCTTGGTTAGTGAGTTGTTCTTGCGGGTCGTTGAGTTTTCTTATGATCCACATACAAAATTCCTCTTCTGTCATTTTGGTTGCCTGATGTTGGTTGGTTTCCATTTCTAGGGGGCTGGTGCTCCTCTTTGGGGGTGTGTTTTCCGTTTGGTTCTTCATATTTTCTGAGTTCCTTCGCTGATTTCTTCCCATGTCGATCTGTTGTTGTTTCTTTTCTTTAGGTTTTTGTTTGGGTATTCACACGCCTTGTTTAGTTTCTTAGCTGGTAGGTGGTGTCTCTGTGTGAGATTCGACCACTCCCTGTATAATGAGTCAGTAGGTGCCGTGAAAAGGCTGTGCAGGATGTCCTCCCTGTCAGTAGATGGCGCTTGCTTGGAGGAACAGGCTACGCTGTTTTTGTGTCCTGTTATCAGCTCTTGTTCCTGTAGAGAGGCACTCTAGTGCCTCAGGTGGTTGGTGGGGCCCTGGGACTCCCAGGTGTGTCCTTTTCTCCCCCTCAGTGAGGGCTGGTCTGGGAGTGAGTCTGGGCAGAGCTGGGTTGGGTAAGCATGCCCTCAGGCACCACCAATGTCTTAGCAGGGGTCAAAGTTCTGTTCTCTGCTTCCAGAAAAGCTGTCAGGGAGGGGCTGGAATGGTCCTGCTCAATCAGAATATCTGTGTGTGGGTGTTGGGCTGTCTGAGACCTGCAGTCTGGAGTGGCCATGCTTCTTTCCACCCTTCCCAACTCCACAGCTACTCCTGGGCCTCTGCCAGCAGGCCAGACCATACACCACCAGGCTTCCCCAGACTGTGGTGCCGGTGGGGAGGGTCCCTGCGCAGGAACGCCACCTGGGCTGGGCGCACGGCCTCCTTTTGGGAGGAGGGTTGCCCTCTAGGACACTGATCTGCCCCTTAAGGCACACACACCTCAGTAGGCTGTTCACTTATATCCCTTCTGTGCCCCAGGCAATGTGAGACCTCGGTGCACGGTATCTGGTCTGCACGTCTGACCTCTGGGCCCCAGAGTTCAAACTATACCACCACCAGGGAGAGGAGTGCCAGTCCCAATTGGCCCATAGGGAGCCCAAGCTGAGTCTATGTCTCAGCCTCAAGGTCTGCCCCATTCTTTTGGGATCACAATGCCAGCAGCACCTGGGAGGGCTGGCAGGTAGGGAGCTCACAGTCTGAGTTCCCCTCAGTCAGCTGTAGGGCCCCAAAAGGGAAGGTCCAGTTCCCTGGAGGTGCCTCTGGCTGGTGGCTATATTGTCTCTTTGGGCAGCCGTGGGTACAGTCAGAGGAGGGGAGCATAAGGCAATATGGCGCCTGCCTCGAGGCTCGGGTCTGTGCACAGAGGTGTCCCGAGGGAGTTGTGAGCCTGGTGCTGCGTCCACTACTGGCTTACAGCTCACTGGCGGCAGCTGTCTCTGGGCTAGTGTCTGCATGTCTCTCTACTCGCTGGGGAGCCCACCAGCAGTCCCAGATGCAGGGGAGGGGAAAGGTTACTGATCCACCTACCCTTCCCGCTGGTCTCCAGGCTGCTCTGGCGGTCTCAGCTTCCAGTTCTCCTCCGCAACCTCCTCCCGTGGAGTCTCCCATGGTCTCAGGTACCCCTCCTTCTGACCCTCGTCTGCTCTATGCTCATCTTCTTGCTTCTTCTAATTTCTGCTAGAATCTACCTTTTCTGCAGAGACACCTGTCTGGCGGTGTTTCTCATCCGCCATCTTTTTTTTTTTTTTTTTTGAGACAGAGTCTCACTTTGTTGCCCAGGCTAGAGTGAGTGCCATGGCGTCAGCCTAGCTCACAGCAACCTCAAACTCCTGGCTTAAGCAATCCTTCTGCCTCAGCCTCCCAAGTAGCTGGGACTACAGGCATGCGCCACCATGCCCGGCTAATTTTTTCTATATGTATTAGTTGGCCAATTAATTTCTTTCTATTTATAGTAGAGATGGGGTCTCGTTCTTGCTCAGGCTGGTTTCGAACTCCTGACCTCGAGCAATCCACCCGCCTCGGCCTCCCAGAGAGCTAGGATTACAGGCGTGAGCCACCGCGCCCGGCGCCCGGCTCATCTGCCATCTTGATCCCAACCCGAGCCTTACCACTTCTATTTAACTTTTTTTCTGGAGGTCGTTCAGATTCCTTCACAGTTTTTTCTCACAGCTTTCTTCCACCAAGGGGAATCCAAGTCTCCAACACCTCCTGTCTCCTGGAGCGGGTTACCAAGGACAGTCCTTCTCCCGCTGCCGTGCGTCGCACTGCCCCAGCCCACTGCAGGGGCTTGGTGCCTGCAACTTTGGGTGAAGTGGCCACCGGCTCCTGCGCCCTGGCCGGGCCGCTCCTCACGTGGGCGTAGGGGGATCGGGGTCTTCTCTGGGCTGGGAGGGTGGCGGTCAGAGCGGAGAATGTGTCCCGGCCCCAGCCCGCGCCCCTTGGACCTGATATCATACATTTTGGACAACATGATAAATAGAGCATACTCCTGGGAGAAATTTCCTTATTGGAAGGAGCCGTTTCTTAGAAATAAAGTACTGTTCCTGATGGATGGGTACCAAGAGCTCTAATCTGCTTTTCTAATGAGAGGGAGTTTTAAAAGAATTGCCCTTCTTTTTTCCTTCCAGTTACAGAGGAAAGCCAGGAAGAGCCAGCATTCCAGAATTTTATGCAAGAATCAATGGCACAGTATTGGAAGAGAAACGACAAATAGGAGACTTTAGGACACTTCACTTGTTCTTAGAAGTTCAAAATTTTGGAACACCATGTAAAGGAACTACTATCCTCACCTCTGACTGGGGGCTACTTTATAAAGGAGAATTTTCTTCAGAATAGCAGTTTGTCTTATTAGAGACATCTCATGACTAAGATGAAGTCAGGGATAGAAGACCTTTGGATGTGGCAGGTAGATGCTGATTCTTCTTTGGCCTTTCCCTTGTATTTATGCAGGAATGGATATATTGACTGTTCTTGGAAGCTGATATCCCTTCAAGCCTAAGACTTCAAGTTTTATTATTTGAACTCGAATACTTTTGCTACTGATGGACGCAATAGAGAGAGAGAACTTAGTCTCTTGGTGACCGCTTCAAATCTTTTATTAGGCTAGATCTATTGCCTCTACTTCCCAGCATCTTGCCCTCAACTCTTTAGTGTAAGTTGCTTGTTTAGCAGAAAGGAAGAGGGGAGACATGAACTTGTCCAAAGTGGCAGTGATGTCTCCTTGGCAACCAGTCAACGTTGGTATGAAGTCTGCCTCACACTGGATAGCTCGTTATAGGACACTCAGTTTGCTGAAGAAAGTGGGCAAACCATGATTAATGAATAAGAATTCCTGTTTCATTGGTGACTTGGATGAAGAGTTTTTAATTTTAACTTTGTTGTAAGCCTGCCTATCATGATTTCAAATTAGAAAATTATATAGTCATAAATAGATTCACTTTTGTTCAACAGAAAGGCTTAAAGCCAGATGTCCAAACTTGTCTCAGTAAGAAAGTGATGTTTACTAAAGTTTCCCATGTACACATACCTAGTGACCAAGTACAGAGCCAGGCCCCCTTTGTATTGTACTTTAAACTTAATGCAAAGCCTCCTTAGTGATTTACTCAGAGGCCATGGATTAGGGTCTGGTGCACATTCCACACATAACAGCCAGTATAAGGGTTTGCCCTGCTTCCACATTCTTTACAGTATCTTAAAACATAGTACATTTCTCTCAAGGAATTTTATCTCTGCCCTAGTCTATACTCCAACTTAGTGATTCTCAGAGTGTGGTCTCTGAACCAGAATCATCAGTCACGTCACCTGGAAAATTGTTAAATGTAACTCTCAAAACGTACTGAATCAGAAACTCTGGGGGTAAGGCCCAACAATCCGTTTTAGTAAGCCCTTCATGTGATTTTGGGGCATACTTGTTTGAGAACCACTGCTTCAACTCAGACAGCTTATAATTCCAGACCAAGTGAATCTCAGGTACCATACTCGCATGACTTGCCTTATCAAAGTACCCTTAATCTTGACCATCTGGTGACTGTTCTCAAATTTAACATTCTAAAGCAATAAAATTACTGTGAGATATTAATTTCAGTATTCTATACTTAGTGGGAACCACTGGTCTAAAAATTTGAGCCTTTAAGAGGAAACCATTTACAATGCAAAACTCTGAACATACTTTTTAATAGTTAAATAACCTCATTTTATTGCTGTCATATTCCATCTTTATTCTCAATGCCTGGGACACTTAAGGCCCTCAATAATGTGCTGATTAAAGCTGTGCTGTATTTTGGTTTCTATTAAAGGAATATTCTAAAGTTTATAAGCCTTGTATTCTGCATCAGAAAACCAAATTTTAGCAGTTTAACATGCTGGCATCCATTACCAAGCCATGAAGTACATATCTGCTAATTACTCCTAATCACTACATTGCTACATTATTTACTTAATTAAATACTGCTTCAGACTATCAGATGCCAAGCAAGGTGATAATGGGATGGATGAATAACAACAGTAATGTTGTTCAGGACATGACGTAGAGTCGAAAGGTGTGTATTGCTATCCTTTGAAAGATTGCCTATTCAGTAACAGAAGCAGTGTAGAACTCTGGCAGAGGAATGGACTGCTGTCCTCTGATGACCAAACAGATACAACAAGTGAAATAAGTACAAGCCTGTCTTTGGATAGGACCTGTTTGCTTTATTCCCAAAGGAGAAAATGGAAGAAACAATTTAAAAACTGTACATGGTGAAAATATTTAGAAGTCTGAAAGTCAGCAGAAATAATAAAAGCAAAAAGGCCGAGGATACATGGAATAAATCTAGAGAAGAAAGAAAAAATATGTGGATGAGATAGGAGAGGGCTGTCTGAATAAGCATAAAGGCTGTGGTCACCACAGGACCTGATTTTATGAGACTTCAGGAGCAGCCAAGAGAGTTTAAAGAAGGTGACTGACAGATAAGCTGGGTTGTATTTAGCTATTTCCTATTAGGTATTAGTACTGGATTCCCAATGACTTGAACCAAAAATGAATCAAGTTAAATGAAAAAAACATCTGATATTAGCATATACTTACTTATAAGTCTATTCAAACACAGTTTTGAAGTTGAGCAAACATCCAATCTTCACATCTCTGCAAGGTTGGTCAAAGAGGTCTGATTCTCAGTGGTACAAGAGAAATGACTGTAGAGAAGCTAAGTAATGTGTCTAGTTACAGAAAAGACAATAGTCGGGGATAATGCTTTGGTCTCCTGATTACCATGCCAGCATCATGTTTCATCTGTGAACAGTGGCTTGGTTGTTATGGAAAACTATAAAAACTGGATGCAAAAGTAAAATGCAACCTTGTCTGGTTAAGTCCAGCTCCTCTGAAATTAGGAAAGTCCACTGTAGTTAAGAATAAGAATCAAATCACTGTTTATGGTAACAAATTCTAATATATCAAGGTTTTCTATAGTAGATCTGGACACATATCTTCCTTTTTTCTTTTTATATCTTCCTCATCCTCTTCTTGCAGCGCTGGTTGAAAACAGGGGAGGACCCCATGAGGCTATCAGTGGAGTGGGAACCATAGCTGCTGTCTGAGTCATCAGGGCTCTGAGGGATCCCGGCTTCACTCATGCCTGACATGGGCTCCTCGAAGACATCACTGCCCAGCACACCATGCCCAGAGACGTTGCCTTCTTCGCTCTCTTGAGGCTCCATTTTCACATGGGTGAGATTCCAAAGAGGAGAAGCATTTACCTCTGCACCTAGAAATAGAGGAAAGAACATACACCTGGTAGTAAGCTAAGTGTAGGACAGAGTAGAGTAAATATACCACTCAGACCTCACTAGTGTTCTTTGAACTCAGTTTTCACTGAGTTTATACTAGGCTGGAGAATATGGTTGTTATTCTCTGCTTTAAAAAGTTAACATCAAAGAATTACCAACTCTGAATATCTTCCCTTCCAATTCTTCCACCTTTCTTTCCCTTGCCTCACTCACCCCCATTTCCCCTAAACCAGGGAAGTAAAACTGTGCAAGTAGAAAGATTGCCTGTCCCACAGCCCCAAAGCAGGCACAACCATGGGTCTTGTTCAGTTGTTTAGTTTGTGCTTCCTTCCTTCTTCTTTGGGGCTGTCTTGTTTTCCTGCCTTTTGTTTGGATCTCTGGTCCTATCTCATTATGAAAGTTAATGAACACTACATAATGCTGATAGCAGTTCCTTGTGTGATCTCCACTGAAAAGTCTGCAACAATTTCTCGGTGGCCCTCCCATCGCTCTAAGTATTCTAGCAATGCTGTTCTGCTGTTCCATGGTGAAAGGATTCCCGCCCAACACTTTTAAAAGTATGGCCTAATTCCATTTAGACCACATTTAAAGATTTGCTATTTGAGTTATCTGTGCATTGATGAAATGACAATTTATATTTCTAAACAACTGAGCGCTCAGACTAATCTGCAGCCTGACTCAAGTAACGAGTCAGATGTCTGGTTCCTAAGGTAATCACAGAAGAGTATGCCAGCTGCCTCTAACTCAGAAGCCCTATTTTAATCTCTTTCATCTCTGATTTGTTGGCATACTCTAGCAAGGAAGTCCAACTATTCATATATCCTTGAGCAATTAACACTCCTCCATCTATTTGGCAGCTGTCTTATCCAATTAAGTAAAAACATCAGGAAGCACAAATATAGAATACTAAAGGAAGACGGGGATATCTGTCCAACCAGCTGGGTCAGCTGAAATCAACGTTGGTAATCAACAGGACACCATATATCGCATCTGTATCTTAACAAGTGATTATTTTAAAGAAGGCCTATAAAGCTGTGCTAGTGCTTTCTTCACAAATTAGAGAAGAATGCTGGTATCTCTAGATCAATGAAGCCGTGTTTGTTTTAGGACTTCCCATTCTGCCCACTCTCACTTTTGTTTTCCTACCTCCAGAGTTTGATTCCAAAAAGCAGAAAGTACGGAGATCAGTAGATCTCCCAGAATCAAAGTTTATTTCTCTTACTTGAAGCCTGTGGCGAAGCTTCAACCTCCAGGTTAGATGGGAAGCGCTCACTCTGAGCCCCAAGGACTCCCATGGGCAGTGACTGGTCTCCAGAAGCAAGGTCGGCCTCCAGTTCCTCACTGACAGGGAAGGTGATGTCGCTCACAGGTTCCTCCTTGATCTTCACAGGTTTAGTGTCCTCTGTGGCCTTTTCAGGATTGACAATCCTTTCATATTCCTCAGAGAGTTGCTTACTAATCTGCTGGCAAGCAAGAGTCAATTTTATAAGGATGTATTAAATGTTGGATAGTCAGCTTACACTATCCCATGGGAAAGCCAACAGAATATGAGTAACAGACAAGTTTTAATACATCCACTACCAATGAAAGAGATTGGTTTAAGGTATTGAGTTTGCATTTATGAGTGATAGAGACATAAAGAAAATGTGTTTGGCAGAGAATGTGTGTGTTATTAATTAAAAGTTATAGAAAGGTGAAAAGTCAAGTTAGATTGTGTTAAAGATAGACCTGGGACAAAAGATTACATATTTGTGTAAAATAACAGTTGACATGTGTACCCCAGGTGGATAATGAATGGTGTGGAAAATCTGAATCATTTAGCAAATACTTTTTTTGATTGGGTGTTAAAAAATTCCTAACATTCTAGATTTGGGGAAACTGAAACAGTGAACAAATGACTTGGTCAAGGCCACAAGGGTTGAAGAGATTAGATATTACTGGTTCTAACCAAAAATGGTATCCTACTCACAATTCTACAGGCAATATCACCTAACTCTGTTTGGGTTTTCATAGCACTTAACATTATCTGAAATTGGTTTGTTTGTTTTTTAGAGACAGGGTCTTGCTATGTTGCCCAGGCTGGCCTTCAACTCCTGGGCTCAGGCAATCCTGCCTCAGTCTCTCAAGTAGCAGGGTTTACAGGCACACGCACTACTGTACTGGCTCCTGAAATTGTTTTGATCATTATTTGTTTACTTGTTTTTGTTTCCCCCCAACAAGAATGTAAGCTTAAGGAACCTGTCTTGTTAACTGCTGTATTCCACAGTGCCTAACTCACGATAGGCACTTAATAAATACTTGTTGAATAAAAGCATACTAACTGCATCTCTCAGATTCCATATACCTGTGTATAATTTTTTTCAGAGGAATTATTAATTATTGGGGCTATTCACTGACTAAAGGAGGTCCTTTGTGTCTGGCCAGGACCACAGCTAGGGCCATAAGAAAAGGATGTTAAGTTCACTTGGTTCCAAGACCCTGTGCTCTGCACTCTAGAGCAAGTGTTGTGGGATTCTGATGAACACCCCTAGATTGGATAGATATCTATTTGCACTTCTCTACAGGATCACCTCACCTGTAGCATGTAACTGTGATAGTCCTTGATGCGGTGCTGCCAGAACTTCTGGAGGGAGAGCACGCTGCCAATACCCACTTCATGGAATACCTGTTCCATAACATCAGGGAAAGGAGTCTGTCCCAGCCGGGCCTCCCGATCCACAGCAAAGCGCAGCAACTTGGTGAACTTAAGGCAATACTCATGTGCCACATCAGTTAGGGTCTCCAGGACACTTTCATTAGCACACTCAAAGCCTGCATGGGCCAGGATTGTGGCTACTGCCTGGTAGAGGAGCTGTCGACAGGAGTGCCAGCTGAGTTCAGTCACAGGTTCCCCTTTCCCACTGAAAGTGGAAGACATGGTAGTATTATTAGTGCTCTTTCAAAGGGGTGACCAACTGTTCTGTCTCCCCAGGAGTTTTACAGTCCAGTCAAACTACTGGCCCTGCTTTCCAGGGAAATTCTATCAGGTTAGACAGCTCAGTTTCATGCTGCTGCTATCAGGGCATGTCTCAGCAACTCCCAGTGTTTGAACAGGCAATACTTGTCTATAATTAGCAATACAAAGGGTATCTAGTGAAAAGGAGGTTTCCTTCTAGCAATTGCTCAATTTTGGTCACTTTTAGGATTAAGTTTAATAGTATAGCTCAGACACTTCTCAATGATGCCTTAGTTATTTCACCAAAACATAGTTTCCACACATGCTGGGTGATATCTGGACTTTGAAAAATTCACAGTTCCAATCAGGAGATTCTTACATACCTACAAAGGACCATTTTTTAAAACTGGGAAGGCTCTCACAAAAATTCACTCAAGATGGATAACAGACTTAAACCTAAGGCATGAAACCTTAAGAATCCTAGAAGAAGATGTTGGGAAAACCCTTTCAGACATTGGCCTATTCTGGAAAGTGACCTATGCGGAGAGTAAAAAAAAATAAATAAATAAAAAAAGAAAGAAAGTAAAAGAAAAAAAAAAGACATTGGCCTAGGCAAAGAATTCTTGAAGAAGACCCCCAAAGCAATCACCGCAGCAACAAAAATAAACAAATGGATCTAATCAAATTAAAAAACTTTCTGCACAGCCAAGGAAACTATCATTAGAGCAAACAGACAACCTACAGAATGCGAGAAAATATTTGCTCTCTACACTTCCGCTAAAGGTCTGATAACAAGAATCTATCTAGAACTCAAAAGAATTAACAAGAAAAAATCAAACAACCCCATCAAGAAATGGGGAACGGAAATGAACAGAAACTTTAGCAAAGACAACAGAATAATGGCCTGCAAACATAAAAAAATGCTCAACATCTCTAATCATTAGAGAAATACAAATCAAAACCACAATGAGATATCACCTAACCCCAGTGAGATTGGCCTGTATCAAAAAAATCCCCAAACACCAAATGCTGGCGAGGATGTGGAGAGACAGGAACACTTTTACACTGCTGGTAGGACTGCAAATTAGTGCAACCTTTGTGGAAAAGAATTTGGAGGTACCTCAAAGAGCTAGAAATAGAAATACCATTTGATCCAGCAATAGCATTATTAGGCATCTACCCAAAAGAGCATAAGACATTCTATTATAAAGACATCTGCACCCGAATGTTTATGGCAGCACAATTCACTAATGCAACAATGTGGAACAACCCAAGTGCCCGTCAATTCATGAGTCGATTATTAAAACTTGGTATACGTTTACAATGGAATATTACTCAATTATAAGAAATGACAGTGAGCTAGCACCACTTATATTATCCTGGATTAAGCTTAAGCCCATTATCCAAAGTGAGGTGACACAAGATCAGAAAAATGGGCTCCACATGTACTCGCCATCAAATTGGTACTGACTAACACTATGGTGCTTAAATGGTGGTGGTATTCACCAGGGATTTGGGGGTTGGGGGGGTAGACCCACATCTGAGGGATGTGGTAAGCATTGTGGAGGGGAAGGGCATACCTCTAACCCTTGCTAGGGAGAGGCAAAGATATAAAATGCAACCAAAATGTTTTTACTTTCATATTTTCTTGAAATAAAATTTAAAAAAAAACACCCCCAAAATAGGTTTAACACATTAACTGCCATGTGAGTTGTATTTAACTCATGCTAGTTTTGAGCCCGGGGCCTCGTGAAGTGTATGTAACTTACACATCTCTTCTTGGAAGTCACGAGAACTATTTTTCAGGTTGCATATAACTCACACACAGAAAATGATAAAAAATAACAAATATTTCATTAAATTAAAAAGGATTTTGTTTTCAAAGTTTTTATTATACTTTCCTAATAAAACACTGGCCCCAAGGCAAAAAAATTTTTTTCTAGAGTGGCAGTCAATGTGAAAAAACAAACAAAAAACTGGGAAGGCAACTCAATTTATGAAAGCAATTTAAAACATATATAGCTTACAAAGCATTTTCATCCTATCCTATGCTATAAAATGGGTAGGGTTCATGTTAATATTCCTATATTCTAGGAGAGGAAATTGAGGTTCAGAGGGGCTGACTTGCCAAAAGTTGTGTAGCTATTATTAGTAAGCAGTGGAAGTAAGCAATGGACCCTTCTGACTCAGGATCCTATATTCTTCATAATACACCATTTTTTTGCCCCTAAATCGCTAATGCTAAAATCTTCATCTTTCCAAGAAAAAAAACTTCAAAAAGCTGTCTGATCTCCTAAAATAACTTTCAATAACCTTTTAATAATTTACTTGTCTCCTGAAATTTCCTATCTGGCTTCTGTCTCCCCTGGTCAAAGGAATTTATTTTATAGATAAAAAAATAAAACATAGCACAGAAAATCATATTTCCTGGGTTCATATTTGGCATGTGTCACCATGTACCGTACAAAAGTGCCTGAGGGGCTATCTACCCACTTAACTATTATATGTTCAGTAGCTATTACTGCAAGTCACATAATAGTTTGAAAATAAGACAACCAATTGCTAAATAACTTTTCATTTAATATTTTTCTCATTATTTCCATGGTCAGTCTCTCTGGGCCAAAGGATAAAAGGCCTCAGAAACACCTAACAGAGTTAAACCAATATCGCTTTACTAGAGTAATATTTGGACCTCTTTCAAAGGAAAATAATTTTTTGGCACTTTCATAGCTGATGCAAATTATTTTTGTTATACACTTTTTTTTTTTTTTTGAGACAGAGTCTCACTCTGTTGCCCTGACTAGAATGAGTGCTGTGGCGTCAGCCTAGCTCACAGCAACCTCAACTTCTGGGCTCAAGCAATCCTTCTGCCCCAGCCTCCCAAGTAGCTGGGACTACAGGCATGTACCACCATGCCCAGCTAATTTTTTATATATATGTTTTTAGTTGGCCAATTAATTTCTTTCTATTTTTAGTAGACAAGTGGTCTTGCTCTTGCTCAAGCTGGTTTTGAACTCCTGACCTTGAGCAATCCGCCCACCTCAGCCTCCAAGAGTTCTAGGATTACAGGCGTGAGCCACCATGCCCAGCCTACAGTTTCTTAAATATGTATCAAACTAGGCCTAAACTTTTGATGATTATAGCTCTTGCTAACAATAGAAATTTGACTCAAAACTATGAAATTATAACTAGTATCAATTTAATATGGTGAACAATATTATTGAAAATGAAATTGCCCTCAAAATGTGAATATGGCATTGATTGAGCAAGTTTTTTGAGTTGGATGTATCCATACTGGCATGTGCTATGCATTTAATAACAGCTGTCCCTCCCCTTTTCACTATTCCAATGATTTCAGAACCTTCAATTATATAATGTACCTTAACATCACCTGACCATCATCTGGCCCAACTGCAACCCTTACATATTTAGTCTTGTTTTGTTCCTTTCTCATTAGTTTAGGGCCACTAAAATAGTAACTATTATCATCAGTAGGGAGATATAATAAATGATTTACAATATTACTTCTGTAGTATTCTTACCAAACATATTTTTTTATTATTTCTTTAGAGACAGGGTCTTGCTCTGTCACCCAGGATGGAGTGCAGAGGTGTGTTCATAGCTCACTGTAACCTCCAACTCCTGGGCTCAAGCAATCCTCCTGCCTCAGCCTTCTGAGTAGGTGGGACTACAGGTCTATGCCACCACACGTGAATAATTTTTTATTTTTTGTAGAGACCAAGTCTTGCTATGTTGCCCAGGCTGGTCTCCAACTCTTGGCCTTGAGCAATTCTCCTATCTCAGGTTCCCAAAGCACTGGGATTACAGGCATGAGTCACTGCATCCAGCCCTGAACATATTTAATCTGACTCTAATCCTGAGGAAATAATAAGTTAATTCAGTAAGTGGGACATCCTATAATACAAGTGACTTGAACTTGCAAAGTCACTAAAGAGGCAGAACAACCAGATGCAATGCATGAATCTTTGTTAGATTCTAGATGGGGGAAAAATCCATTTATAAAAGATATTTTGGGGACAATTAGAGAATATGAATATAGACTTATTAAGTGACATTTAATTAGTATTCATTTACTTTGTTATGATAATGGTATTGTGCTTATGTAGGATAATTTCCTTATTCTTAGGATATACATGCTAAGGAATTTAGGGGTGAAATATTGCAATGTCTGCCACTTTAAAATATTTGGCCAAAAAACTGTGTCTATTTAAGTATGTATTAATATATATATATTTATATATTTGTGTGTATGTGTGTGTATATACGCATACATATGTAATAAAGTAAATGTGGCAAAATGTTAATCATGGTGAGTACAGGTGAAGAGTATTTGGAAGTTCATTATATGATTATTTAAACTTTTCTGTAGATTTGACAAATGAAAAGGAAAATGAAAAGGAAAAAAAGTAATTATTTGGCATTAAATACAATAGTAGCACTAGGTTATGAGGCAGTCATTCAGAGGATCCAGAGCAGGGCTTCTGAAACTTAAATTCACTTATGAATCTCCTAGAGGTCTTGTTAAAATGCACATTCTGATTCAGTAGGCCTGGATGAGGCCTGAGACTCTGCATTTCTAACAAGCTTCCAGGCGATGTTGATGCTGTTGGTCTTGGACCAGATATTGAGTAGCAAGGAGCAAGAACATTTTTATGTTTCTTAAACTGTTACCAAAATGAAACTATACAATTTAAAAATTTTTGAATAGACTTGTGGACTCCTAATAATACCAGAATAAGCCTATGAATTCCAATTTGAAGATACTGAACTAAACTCATAGTATAAATTTTACAATAAAGAGAGATAAAACTCTAAGATCTATGAGGCCATGCCCTTTTTAACATGCCAGTGTATGTTCTTGCTCCTAGTAAAGTGCTTACCCCATAGTAGGTATTCAATAAATATTTGTTGCATTAGAAAATTTAAAAATACAGACTCTGTGCCAGGTACAGTGGCTCATACCAGTAATCCAAGCACTTTGGGAGGCTGAGGCGGGAGGATCACTTGAGGTCAAGTGTTTGAAACCAGCCTAGGTAACATAGTGAGACTGTCTCAACAAAAAATAAAAAAATAAAAATACAGACTCTGGATTATGAAGATTGGGGTTCAAAACTTAGACTTCCCACTAATTACCTGAGAAACTGTGGCCAAGTCAATTACTCTTATCCTTAGTTCTCTCATGTGGATATGGAAATGCTGTTACAGTCTTAACAGGGTTGTTGGGAAGATTACTTGAGAAAAGTAAGATATAGCAAAGCCTTGCCTTACCGATAAAAGTCACTCTCTGGGTCACTGTGCCGGATCTGGAACAGTGCATTAGCATTCTTACAATCTAAAGGTAGGAGGTCATCAGGGAGAGGAGGTGACCCAGGGCAGGAAGGGAGAGGTTCACTCTCTTCAGTCTTTACACCTTCTGTCTGCTGCTGATTCTGGGCCTGAGCTGTGGCAATAAGGTTGCGAAGACGTCGGTTGTGCTGAATCAACTGAATGGTATGGATGGTGAGGCTGCACGGCTCTGAGGGGATGTCCAACATGGTAGGGGGCTTGGGCTTGTTGGCTGAGGGTTGGTGCAGGGGTGGGTCATGGACTTCCACCAGACGGAACTCCCGTGGAAGCAAATCAAAGGAACTTCTGTTGGTCTGGCTTGATGATATTGGTATTTCTCCCCAGTATCTCAACATTTTGGAAGAAGAGATCTCAGGTTAAATGTAGACGATATCCTAAAAGTAATGTGTTTAAATATCTGGCAACTGTAGATTATAGGCTTTTGCAGTGAAAAATATGAAGTATAGCCAGTTGTTTAAGTAAAAAGCAGGCTATTTAAGATCACTTAGGAAAATGTCAGTATCGGCAAAAATGTAGGACCAAAGATGTTCTCCCTAAAGAAATTAAGAGAAATATAACTGTTAGATGATTGTTATTGTCACACTATGACGATTCTTACTGGACTGAGCCACAAGGTAGAATTTGGGTAGACTAATAGCTTCCATACTATCTGGGGCTCTAGTATCTGTGTTTTCCATCTCACCTCACCAACTCATTACCATCATGCTCAATCCCGAATAATTTTCAAGGCATGATGTAAATATGAAGTGTATTTCTCAGGTTATCTTGACATATCTGTGCCAGATGAATACTAGAAAAGGGAGTAGAGTTAAAGATAGTAGGAAGTAGTTTGTATTCTCTATCTCAGGCATAGTCTTAGTAGAAAAATTTATGAACCACTAATCTAAATGGTCTTATGCTTTAAACTTCTGACATATGTACAAAAGAATCAAAGATTTCTGCCACTTTCTAATTGGTATTCCTTCCTCCAATCTCTCTTTGTATCCAATCTATTCTCCATACTGCTGCTAGACTTACTCTTTATTTTAAAATTTTTTAATTTTATTTCATTTTTAATTTTTTTGCCCTGCTTCCTGGAGCTTATTCTTTTTAAAAATCAAGTCTGGGCTGGGCGTGGTGGCTCACGCCTGTAATCCTAGCACTCTGGGAGGCCAAGGCGGGCGGATTGCTTGAGGTCAGGAGTCCGAAACCAGCCTGAGCAAGAGCGAGACCCCGTCTCTACTATAAATAGAAAGAAATTAATTGGCCCACTTATTTTTTTTGGAAAAAATTAGCCAGGCATGGTGGCGCATGCCTGTAGTCCCAGCTACTCGGGAGGCTGAGGCAGAAGGATTGCTTGAGCCCAGGAGTTTGAGGTTGCTGTGAGCTAGGCTGACGCCACGGCACTCACTCTAGCCTGGGCAACAAAGTGAAACTCTGTCTCAAAAAAAAAAAAAAAAAAAAAAAAATCAAGTCTGATGGCTTCCCATGGGCTTTTGGGAAAAGTCAGAATTCTTTGGCTTACAATTCAACAAAATGCACAATCTGGCTTCAACTCGCCTTTGCAGATTCATTGCCCATATGTCTCTTCAAGTTCAACAAACATTTGTTAAATGCCAGGCACTATGTGAGGAGACAAAGACCAATAATGCAAGATCCCTGTCCTGAAGTGAGGGAGAGAAACAGAATATTTCAACATGAAAGTGTGTGATAAGTGCCATTCTAGAGGTATATACAACTAGTGTAGTGGAAGCACAAAGTAGGGGGTTCCTGGCAGAAATGACCACCTTAGTTCTAACAATATCATACTACTCAGTTTCTTGAGAACATGCATTTCCACAGTTGACCCTTTAGGCTGTGATCTCTGCCAGAAATGCCCTGTCAACTCCCACATCCCTGGCAGTCTGATATTCATTCTTAAGTAAGCTTAAGTCACCTTTTGTCACTTCCCCAGTACATCTCCCTTTCTATATTCTCACAGCACTTAGCATGTCTCTGTCACAGCATTTATCCTTGGATTTTAACTAGCCCTTAATCAATTTTATTCTCCCATTTACTCATTATGGTCATGATCTTGGCACACAGTATTATCTGCCATTTTATTGAATGCTTACTCTATGCTAGGCTTCACTTTTACAGTTTAATTCAATTCTCCTAACAACCCTATGAAGCAGATATTATTACTATCCCCATTTTTCAGATGCGAGAGCTGAGGCTCAATGTCTTGCTCAATGTCACAAACGATGAGGGCAAAAGTCAAGACAAGCTCCAAGGTCTACACTCTTAAGCACTAAATTATGTTGCCTCAATAATTTGTCTCAGGGGCACAGTGGCTGATGCCTGTAATCCTAGCACTCTGGGAGGCAGAGGCAAGCAGATCGTTTGAGCTCAGGAGTTCCAGACCAGCCTGAGCAAGAGCAAGAGCAAGACCCCATCTCTACTAAAAATAGAAAGAAAATTAATTGGCCAACTAAAATATATAGAAAAAAATTAGCCGGGCACAGTGGCACATGCCTGTAGTCTCAGCTACTCAGGAGGTTGAGGCAGAAGGATCGCTTGAGCCCAGGAGTTTGAGGTTGCTGTGACCTAGGCTGACGCCACGGCACTCTAGCCCGGGCAACAGAGGGAGACTCTGTCTCAAAAAATAGTAATAATAATTTGTCTCGGAATGAATAAATGAATGAGGGAAATAACAGAAAAATCTCCCTCTTCCTAATTTCATTGAAAGGCAAACGAAGGACAGGCACCAAACCTAAGGAATGTCCAAATTCCTCCAGGGGCGGTCTTCGGTCACGGTCAGCAGACGCAGGCGCCAATCACAGGGTCCTGACGTTGCCTGATGTCCAGGGCAGCCGGAAGATGGTAAGGTCTGGACCAGAATCGACACAAAGTGGTGCCACTATGCACTGCTGCGTCGCAGAAGCGAGCTGGGCAGCTGTCGGACCCCAAGAGGCCTGAGGCAAGGGTCGCGTGAGGCCCGGAAGGCTGTTTGCTGGTTAGTGGTCCAAGACTGCCGGAAGCGCTTCTTCTCAATCAGGCTATGCCACAGGAAGTCATTACAATCCTGTTGCAACCTCTAAAGATGTCCCCATTCTGCCCAGGGACCCGACACCCTTTTTTTGTTTTAATCTTACTATGACTTTCTCGTGTTGCGCACCATTTCACAGCGCTCTGGATCGTGAAGGAGCAACTCCACCATTGCTACCCAGAAGAGTCACTGAGAGTTTGGAAAAGGGAGACGGGGAGAGGAACGAACAGACCGAAGGGTAAGGTTTCTAGGAACAGATTTCGAGGCTGCACCCGAGTTAGGATGGCTGATACTCCTCTACAGTCGGAGCCGGCGGCACCGCAAGAAGTCAGTGACGACTTCAAGAAGCCAGCTCTGCCGGTGCCTCCGGTGGTGCGGGATAAAACTCCGGCTACCATTCCCTCAGACTCTGAAGAGGTGAAGAAAGAAAGGCCCACAGTGCTGCGGGACCCCGATTCTGGGGAGCCCGACGTCCCGTCACCTCTGCTGGATAGCGGGAACACCAGGAGTCCACAGGAGGAGCAGCCACGTCCCCCCACAGCATCTTCTTCCTCTGGCGGTCCGGCCCGGGCTCCCCCCTATCAAGAGCCGCCATGGGGTGGCCCAACCACGGCCCCGTACAGCCTAGAGACCCTGAAGGGCGGCACCATCCTTGGCACCCGTAGCTTGAAAGGGACGAGTTACTGCCTTTTCGGGAGGCTGTCTAGCTGCGACGTGTGCCTGGAGCACCCTTCTGTGTCTCGTTACCATGCCGTGCTGCAGCACAGGGCGTCCAGCCCAGACAAAGAATGCGAGGGCCATGGGCCGGGCTTCTACCTCTATGATCTGGGAAGCACCCATGGCACTTTTCTTAACAAAACTCGCATCCCACCCCGCACCTATTGTCGGGTCCACGTCGGGTATGTTCTTCGTTTTGGAGGCAGCACCCGGCTCTTCATCCTGCAGGTAAGTAGAAAAATCTAGACTTGAAATCTCAGAAGCTCACCGGGCTGCGCTCCTGAGCTTCTTAAGCTTTTGTTGAGGAAGGAAATTCTCCCAGTTAACGATTACAAAAGTGGAGGAATCAATCTGGCCCCTCATCTCCAGACCTGTATATACATTGCTGTATTTCCGAAAGTAACTTCCACAATCCTGAACTCTGAAAGAACTTTTTTTGCTTGGTTTTTAAGGGACCAGAGGAAGACCGAGAGGCAGAATCCGAGTTAACGGTGACGCAGTTGAAGGAATTGCGAAAGCAGCAACAAATGTTGGAGAAGAAGATGCTAGGAGAAGACTCAGATGAAGAGGAGGAAATGGATGCTACTGAAAGGAACAGAAATACTAGTAGCCAAGATGATGAGATGGGTTGCACCTGGGGAATGGGTAAGAAATTAAAATTGCTGACATAGGTTAATATTTTGAATTCATTACTACTGGTGCCCTTGAATGTTTTTTTCATACAATTTTTCATGCCTCTTTGAGATAGGGAAAACATAATTTGCACCTTACTGTTGTAAAAAAATTGAATATGATCACTATGGAGTTCTTTTAACTTGTTCTTAATGCACTGTCTTGTTCAAAACTCGTCCTCAGCATACAATTAACTTATAATTTTTTTACCATTTAATGGCAAAAATATTTATTTATTAAATACTGACCTTGTGCTATATGATCATCACTGGAGGGGTGGAGCTACAGTCAATCAAATAAATGGTATAAAAAGTATTGGGAAATGATATAAAAAGGATATAAAAAGTAATGATATAAAAAAAGATACAAAAAGTATTGGGAAATTATATTGGAGATAAAATATTAGACCTGAGTGTGAGAGGAGGAGAATGTGAGACTGAGGAGCTCAGATTTTTTTCCAAAATGTGGTAGGTAATTTTGCTTCTAAAATATAGTAATAGAGGAAAAATATTAAGATGCCATGACAACAAATTTTGACTTGTCATACAATTTAGAAAACCCTGAAGATGCTCATACTGGTGGTTTTGTGGTCGCTTCACCCCCTCCCCCAAATATGTATTTTTCTTTTCATTACAGATAACTGTACCTTTATGCAGCCTGAAAGGATAGTGGGTGTCATTCACATAGTCTCTTCTCATGTCTGGTTATCTTTCCTTTCTTTCCCATATCCTGTAGGAGAAGATGCTGTAGAGGATGAGGCTGAAGAGAACCCCATTGTCTTAGAGTTTCAGCAAGAAAGGGAGGCCTTTTATATAAAGGATCCAAAAAAGGCTCTCCAAGGTTTTTTTGACCGAGAAGGTATGTAAACAGATTCTGACCCTGCCAGTAAAATGTATCCTTGTTTTCTAGAGCTTCAGGTAGAGCATTATACTTAGAAATGCTGTATTTTATCTGCTGTCCTCTTTGTTCAGTTCTTGCATTTGTGGTCAGTTGCTTTAGGTTTATTTTAAAATTATTCCTTATTATTTTAGTCGTAGAAGAAAAGAAAATCGCAAAAATCTTTTTAGTCTTTCTTCTCATCTTGGAAAAAAGAAACTATTTTTTCCTGACTCATCTCATTCTTCTCAAAAGATCCTGGGCTTTGGTGGTAGGGAAATTGAGCCAACTTCCTGTAATTCGTTATTCCTGATTCACCTGATCTTTTGTAATTCCTAACATGGATTTTGATTTTATATGATTTTAAAAAATGTTTTTACAGAGGATTGTTTTAGTAGAAATACTCTGAGAGAACATTTATATGTATATATGTGTCTATATATGCATATATTTTATATATGTACATAATATATGAACTGGCTGCTTTCTATACTTAATACTTATGCTTCTAAAACTAGGCAACTGTGTTAAAATAACCACTTAAGTCTATAACTTGTAAAAAGTGTGAAAGCTACTATATAGTGAACAAAGCTGTGTTGGAGAGTTGACTGTTTTGATCTTAGTTTGCTTTTTTCTCTGCTTCAAACTCATTCTAATTTTATTATCAGATTATAATCCCTAGGAATGATAAGTGAAATGCATTGAGATTTATTATTCAGTGTGGTTCGGGAACTTATTTAACCATTGTTCTCATTTCTCATATCAACTAGTGATTTTCAGATCCTATTAAAATTGTTTTGTGTTTTTTTTCTCCTACAGGAGAAGAATTAGAATATGAATTTGATGAACAGGGACACAGCACTTGGCTCTGCAGAGTGAGGTATGTTCTTTTCTTATTAATGTCCATTTCTGGAAAGTGGCTATTTTCAGGTTTAATTTATGGTTAGAGACAACAAGTCAAAGAGTAACTTTAGTCTTAATTTTAGGCTCTTCCTAAATTTGGGCCTTGATAGCTTAGTAACACTTATGTTATTGGGGAGTCAGGTGGGATGAGTAAGAGGTGGAAGGTAAAGATTTGAAGTCCAACCTTGGCAAGATAGAACAAGATGAATTGAGAGATTGAAAAACCATCTAAAAAAACCCACAACTATTAGCATATTAGTTGTTTTCATGAGGATTGGAGCTTAATGCTATGCTACAATTCCCACCAAACCAATGCAGATTACCTGTGGATGATTCAACTGGAAAACAACTGGTGGCTGAGGCCATTCACTCAGGAAAGAAAAAAGAAGCAATGATCCAGTGCTCACTGGAAGCTTGTCGTATCCTTGATACTTTGGGGTTGCTGCGGCAGGAAGCAGGTCTGTATATAGGAGCCCTTTCTTCTTAAAATGAGAAAAAGAAGGCCAGGCGGGGTGGCTCACGCCTGTAATCCCAGCACTCTGGGAGGCCGAGGTGGGAGGATTGCTCGAGGTCAGGAGTTTGAAACCAGCCTGAGCAAGAGTGAGACCCCCGTCTCTACTATAAAAATAGAAAGAAATTAATTGGCCAACTAATATATATAGAAAAAATTAGCCGGGCATGGTGGCACATGTGTGTAGTCCCAGCTACTCGGGAAGCTGAGGCAGCAGGATTGTTTGAGCCCAGGAGTTTGAGGTTGCTGTGAGCTTGGCTGACGCCATGGCACTCACTCTAGCCTGGGCAACAAAGCGAGACTCTGTCTCAAAGAAAAAAAGAAAAAGAAGGAAAATTTAACACAAAAGGTGGTAAAACCTCTTTATAGGGGAATAGGTAATTGTATTTTGAAATGAAAAGAAAAAGAATCCTGATCTTAATACCCTAAGGTAGCCATTGTTTACATTCTCCTAGATATTTTCTTGTCTTTTTTTTTTTTTTTTTTTTTTTGAGACAGAGTCTTGCTTTGTTGCCCAGGCTAGAGTGAGTGCCATGGCGACAGCCTGGCTCACAGCAACCTCAAACTCCTGGGCTCAGCGATCCTTCTGCCTCAGCCTCCCGAGTAGCTGGGACTACAGGCATGTGCCACCATGTCCGGCTAATTTTTTCTATATATATTAGTTGGCCAATTAATTTTCTTTCTATTTATAGTAGAGACGGGGTCTTGCTCTTGCTCAGGCTGGTTTCAAACTCCTGACCTCAAGCAATCCGCCCACCTTGGCCTCCTAGAGTGCTAGGATTACAGGTGTGAGCCACCGCGCCTGGCCATCTCAGACTTTTTCTATGCATACATAAATGTGTGTTTAGAAATAGATCCTTTAACAAAAAGCAAACACTGATACACAAATATAGTCACATTACTTACACTCTTTTGTGGCTCACTCTTTTAACATATGGATATATCATGGATATTATCCATATCAATACATTAGATTTACCTTGTTTTTTTTTAAAAAAGTCTGGCTGTAGCATCACTTATATTTTTATTTATTTTTATAAAGGCTTATATTTTTATTTATTCTAAAATTAATTTTTATTATTGCAAAAGAACTTACGTCTGGTCTAAAACTACCAAAAGACTTATAATGAAATATATACCTGTTCCTTGCCCTAATGTTCCTCAGTCCTCTTCTGTAGCAGCTTTTAACTCTTCCAGTTATTTCTTCTGGCATTTAAAAATACCTCTATTTCTGGCCAGGCGAGGTGGCTCATGCCTGTAATCCTAGCACTCTGGGAGGCCAAGGTGGGAAAACTGAGTTCAGGAGTTCGAGACCAGCC